TTAAGTTGGTTATTTCAAGGTCATGTTTTTTTGTAAGTTAATTTTTGCTGCATTTTTTTATATTTTTAATATTTTAGTCAAAGTTCATGTGTTGAATATACATTGTCTCTAATTCTATACAATGTATAAACAGATATAAATGTAAATGCATGAATGTTGTTAAATTCAGACAAATATCATAGATGCACACATCACAGTCCTTATTAGATAGGGAGTTGTTTAATTCAGTGACTTTAAAGATTGTTCAGCAGGACATTATTGTTGTGTATAAATATTATATGGTATTTTTAGTTTCTTGTATTTGGCCACTTTGAATTTGTGTTGTTCCAGTATTCCCACTTGAATACTGTATAATCACCCTTAGGATATGTTGCCTGCTTTTTAAATTTGTCTTTTGACATCTTGTCTGTAATATGCAGGCTTCATAACCTCAGATCCCCTCTCTAAATTCCATTTTTGTGTCGCCTCTACGGAGTAGTGGCGACATATAGGGATCACTTCTTCGTCGTCTGTCTGTCCGTCCGTCTGTCAGTCCGTCCGTCCGTCCGTCACAAAACTTGTCCGGACTACTCCTCATAAACTACTGGTGCAATTTCATCCATACTTTACAGGAATGATCAGTACCAAGTCTAATTGTGCATATTGTCAGCATTTTCCGGTTCAATGATTTTTGTCAGAGTTATGGCCCTTTAATAATTTTTAAGTTTGTCCGGACTACTTCTCTTATACCACTAATGCAATTTCAATGAAACTTTACAGGATTGATCTGTAGCTCAAGTCCTTGCGCATATTGCAAGGGTTTTCCAGTTGAATGATTTTTGGCCGAGTTATGGCCCTTTGACAAAAAGGTTTCTTTTTCTGTGTGTTGCCAGATACACAAAAGCTTGTCCGGACTACTCCTCATAAACTAGTGGTGCAATTTCATCCAAACTTTACAGGAATGATCAGTACCAAGTCTAGTTGTGCATATTGTCAGCATTTTCCGGTTCAATAATTTTTGTTTGAGTAATGGCCCTTTCATAATTTTTATTTTTAAAGTTTGTCTGGACTACTTCTCTTATACCACTAATGCAAATTCAATGAAACTTTACAGGATTGATCTGTAGCTCAAGTCCTTGCGCATATTGCACGGGTTTTCCGGTTGAATGATTTTTGGCTGAGTTATGGCGCTTTGATAAAAAGATATTTTTTTTCTGTGTGTTGCCAGATACGCAAAAGCTTGTCCGGACTACTCCTCATAAACTACTGGTGCAATTTTATCCAAACTTTACAGGAATGATCAGTACCAAGTCTAGTTGTGCACTGTCTGTCCGTCTGTCACAAAATTTGTCCCAACATGAAATTGGCCATAATGAGGCGACACATGTGATTACTGATCGCTCTTGTATTTAGTTCCGCCCATTGTTTTCTCGTTTAGGGCACACACTTTTTATTACTTGGGGACCATACGCCGCTTTTGATGGAATGGCACTACTGTGTCACATTGAAGGTTCCATGATAACCGCCATATTAACACATCTGCGGATGTTTCTAAATTCAAAATTTCACCATTTCATGTTTAAATGTTGAATTCTGCTTAAGCCAGCGCTAGGGGGCGTGGACAGTATATTGCACTTTCCAGTACCGTCCATGAACAGGCGCAATCAAACCGAGCCTGCAACATTTTACAATTTTACCATTTTGGGCTTTCTTTAAGGATTCTGTATTTCTCTATTTTATATTGTCTTTTATGTCTGGTGGTATTTAATATGGTTGTATACAACAGGAAGTAGTTTAATTCAGTCAGAGTCACTAACGATTGTTTCCTTGTATACTCATGTAAGTAAATATTGGTACATTCGTAGGTCTGTAATTCTGTACAATTTAATGGGCAGCATTTTGTTAAAAATCATATCTTTTATACATGTAAGAAATGATCCAGAATTGAATTTATTGTTTAAAATTTTAAACAATAATTTTGTCAAGTAAGGGCAGCCTATATATAGCTTTATACAGTTTAACCTTTCTTCAAAAAATATTTGATAAAACTTGCAACAATGAATGATTATGCTATTTTATGAATATATGAGGATGGATGATGAACATTTGACCCAGGCATCTAGATATGTTTTGTGTCATTATCATAAATGTATTATTTATTTCTATAAAGTTCCGGCACAGGATGAAAAGGGAGATAAAAAGTGGAAAGATGAAGACTTAGAACTTATAAATAAATGGGCATATGAAGGGGAGAGAATTCTGCATGGAACACCATCTGGGATAGACAACTCTGTAGCAACATTTGGTATGTCAATTTTGAGGGATTCATTTGACAAATTTTAATAGTCTGAGGAAAATTCTTGTAGAGATAGTACTTGTACAAGACTTTGTCAGTATTTCGTAAAATTGTGTTGGGTTTTGATCTATTTGTCCTATATTTATTTGTTGAAATAAACAAGCAATTATCATTGTATTGCAAGCAATACAAAAGTCCCCTACCAGTTAGAACCCTTAGCAACATTCTCAAGGGCCATTGGCCATACAATTATGCTGTTGTGGAAGTAATGAATGAATTTAAAATCTTTGGAGTTCTTAGTTTGTCTGTATCATAGTAGTGTGTTAAGTTTCCTGCCTAGTAAGGGCATTATGTTTATACAGCAGATAATCAAAAGATGAATATGTATAACTAATGTTTCAACTTTTCTCTATTTTATGTTAATTTATTGGAAATGTTCCAAGTTCTTAATTTATAATATCTAATTTATTGACCACTGTTATTAGAATTTTCGGATAAATTCTGTGCAAAAGCTTTATAAAGTATCAATAAAGAGAGATGACCTAGTTGTTAGGGTGTCTGTCTGTCAACCCTGGGGATTGAAGGTTTAAGCCCTACAAGGGTCACAACCATGTTTCCTCCTATGAGCCCAGTAACTTAAATGGAAAGTGGTTCAGATAATTTGGCCAAAATGAATTTTTGCATCAATTATCAGTAGTTTGACAGGAATGAATAAGTTGACATATATTTTTCAGGAGGTGCAATTAAATTTCAAGCTGGGAAGATTACTAAACTTAACAAGTAAGCTTTTCAAGTATTTGTATTGAGTTTTTACAGAATAACTGGTATTTCCTTCAAATTTACTGTAAACATTGCAGTTTATCTTTTAAACTGGGTCAAAAATGTAAAAGTTCAATGTATGCTTGACTGCACTTTACAAAATATTTCGAAATACGTCAATATTAGAGATATGTTGAAACATGTGTGTTGATACTAAAGATATGTGGATAAGAATATGTTGATAATAGAGTTGTGCCAAAAAAAATATGTTGATAACAGAGGTGTGTTGATAAAAATATGTTGAAACCAGAGGTGTGTTGATAAAAATATGTTGAAACCAGAGGTGTGTTGATAAAAATATGTTGAAACCAGAGGTGTGTTGATAAAAATATGTTGATAACAGAGGTGTGTTGATAAAATATGTTGATAACAGAGGTGTGTTGATAAAAATATGTTGAAACCAGAGGTGTGTTGATGAAAATATGTTGATAATAAGAGTTGTGTCGATAAAAATATATTCATGATAGAGATGTGCCAATGAAAAAAATGTTGATAACAGAAGTGTGTTGATAAAAATACATTGATAATAGAGATTATATTGTCAATAATATAGAGTTCCAGTTTATTCATGTACCAACATATATCATGTATAATATTATGTTTCAGAATTTTGCGAACCATTTAATCTGTCATAATTGTGTTAACAAAATGCTTAAAGATTATGTTATTTAAACTGAAACGCATTTTTTTTTGTAGTTTTCCAAGACTGAAAATTCTGCTGTCAAGTACAAATGTGCCAAGAAGTACAAAAGTTTTGGTGGGTAATGTTCGGGAAAGGTGTAACAGGGTATGTAATACAGTCAATGTTTTTTGTTCTACTTCTTTTTACTTAAACAGCACTCCACAGTCTTATGGCATTTAGGGACTGAAAATATTTTTCCAAGATGATTGAATCATTTGATGTAGTTCTAGACCAATAATGGAAGTGCAAAATATCTGATCATTCGCTCTTTCTGTTTTTTCCAGAATAATAATTTTTATTGAGCAAAATGACCAAAAAAAGAATAAGGTTGAAATGCTTTTCACTCATATTTGCTATAAATTCGCACAATAATAATTTTTCTATAAATACTAAGTTAATCCTACAAGAGAATGTAAACTTTTTAAATGTAAGGAAGGCATTTATCCTGATTAATGAAATTATGTGGTCATTTACAAGTGAAATAATGCATAATTAGGGTCTCTGTTCTGTTCAACAGAGAAACTTAGTTTTCATATAAACCTTGCTGCAACTACACACATCATTGATCTATTAAGTTCAGTGTTTTGTTAAGGAAGGCCAATGCATATGAATAGTTTAATATTACTACTTGTACCAGGTACTTATAATAATTATATACCTGCTTGTACTACACAGCCAGAAAGTAAGCTTAGTTGTTTGAGCTTTTAGTAATATCTTTAAACTGTGGCAGAAAAAAAATTAGTAACTATCACATGTTACTTATCAGGTACCAGATGTAATGCAGCATGTTATGGATGCTACAGAAGCTGTCACACATCAATGTGAGAAAATACTAGAAACCATGGCAACAGATTCTCAAAATGAAATAACCAGTCTATACACCAATTTGGAGGTAGGTGTCCTAATATTGCCTTCCCTTTCCCCCCCCCCCCCAAAAAAAAAACAGCAACAAAAAGCAACCCTGTTCATACAGATATAATAAGAAAAAGTGCATTACATGTAATTGATAAAATTGTAAAAGCATTTGCAATTGTTACTCAGTTTTTTAATATTCATGACTCAGGGCATTTTTGATTGCAATGATGGCCCTGGTATTTTCATTATCAAAATAACTGTCCAAAGGCAATTTGCGCTCAGCACATGAAAAGTACGGAAAAAACCAGTTTCTTTATACCAAAACTATCAACAAAACATGTAATTTCATAATAAGACTTATACTTTTATGCAGCATTAGCCTTAATGCATCTCTTTTTGTGCATTAATATTTTCAGAAGTCCTACTGCCTAGTGGAAATTAAGGTTATTAAATAAGTTATTATTTGAATATATGATGATGAATGTAGTTGTTTCTTAAATTACTCTTTAGTTATAGAAGAAACTTTCTGAAGATCTAGAGCTTATATAACATCACTTTATTTAATTAAAGCTAAATAGAAATATTATTGTTATTAAATGGAGAAAAGAAACAATAATAATTTCTTTATTTAGGAATTGGACTTGACATTAAGCCAGCACCTTCTACAAGCAATGGGTGAAAATCATGTGACTTTAATAAAAATATGTCATGTGACATCTAAATATAGACTGCATTTCCAAATGTTAACAGGAGCAGGTGGTGGGGTTGTGCATTTTTACTCTTCTCTTTAGACCAACAAACAAAACCTGGTAAGAATGATGTGATAAAGGAATTAGAAATGGGAAGGATTTAATTGTTTTATAACAGTATTGGGGAAGTTTTGGAGTGATGGTACATGAAACAGTTTACCAGAAAAAGTGTTTCCTAGATAAAAATATAGTTATGAACCAGGAATTGTGATAAGACCCTTGTGGGGCCCCATTTTGTTGCCCACATGGAAGATCGGGAAACTGAATGTGTCAGCCTTGTTAAATAAAGTTTTACTTCCTTACTTACTTTCATACATACTAACCATAATATGTGGTAATCTTATAAGGTTTTCACATTAGCTAAAACCTTGTACATTTGTTTACCAACTGTGGGTTGAACATGATTAGAAAATGACACACAAGTATACTTGAAAATTAGTAAGAAATTACATGACAGAAGTAACTTGAAACTGCTACATATACATGTATATAGAATTTTACTTCAATGATGATTATTCTAAATCAAAATACATATACTTCATTTATTTCCGAGAAATAAGTAATAATGAATATGATTATAAAGCTGTTTGTAAGTCAAGCTGTACTTTTACAGTTAAAACACGGATTTATATTACAATAATTTTGTAATATTGTAATATAAATCCGTGACTGAATACATAAAATAAAATGAAAAACATGTCTGTCACCAAAGTGTGAATCTGTTTTAACTCTAATATATAAATAGAGGATTTTCAGGTTTTTTCTATAAATACAGGATTTATTTTCATCGTGGTATGAAAATTAACATTTTACTAGTGGCGGGAGCCATGAGTGAAATATGATAATTTTCATATCACAATTTTCTGTTTATCATATACTTGTTCTGTTTTTCGACCATACAATTCAGACGACTTCTTCTTTCATTATGTGTATTGGCTGAATATAAGAAGTAGAATGTAGACCGGCAAGAAACCAGTGAAAATACACAAAATATGTTTCACTGTCGTGAAAAAAACATTTTTTTAGTAAAAATACAGAAAATAAAAATAAGGCTATATTATTTCATCAATATTTCTCAATATTTCACTTATCAGTATATAATACAGCAAACATCATTTTTTAGAGAAAAAAGTAAGATTTCTTCATGAATCGACAACAGCCGTGTAGCTAAAACTATATAAACATCACATTTATCCAATGAAAAGCAACGTTACAAACGTGCAGTATTATAAAAATTATAATGAATATGTACTCGTATATAAAGTTAAAATAGAAACACACTAGTACAGTTGAAGAGAAAATGAATAAGAACATTAGACAGAGTATTAGGGTTCAGGAGATCATTTAAACTAAATAAATAGTAAATTGATCCCAAAATAAAATTTCAAAACAGCTACATGTAAAGAATGCTTAGAAAAAACAAAAAACACAAAAATTCAATGAACATCATGTACATTGCCGTGTCAGTTCATGCTGTATGTGTGATATATTTGTATATTGGCAATCCAGGTTAATGATTTCTCAGAAAGTGTAACGTGGGTGTCGGACAAAAGATACAGAAGACGACAATAAAATTGAACGAGATGACCGGGAACTTCTGAACAATAGCAACAATAATTTCTGAAAGTTTTACGTGAAATACTCTGTATCATCCCTCTGTAATCACAGACGCTTGGGGGTCAGATCCTGCCCCCCAACGTGATACGCCCCTGTAAACACTCTGTCAAAAATATTTTAATATTTAAACACAAATTGGACATCTGCTACAACGATACAACTGGTTTTCAAACAATTTTTACATATCTGAAAAAATTACCTTTTACCATCAAGTCTCAATAAAGTACTTTATTGAGACTTAATCAAAAATAATTATATAAATTAATTTACAAATCGTTTAATTATGACAGTTTTTTGGGAAAAACCACCTAAAAACCAGTTAGGCAACTCAATACCCTGTAACCAAGGCTAGGACAAAGTGCCGATTAATAAAAAAAAAAATATAAACATTCTTAAGTTTTATTAATACCTTAATAATGTTACTATATATAGTAACAAAATTTAGGGTATTTCAGGGCCTAACAAGATACATGACCTTCTATTTGTATTTTAGTTGTGAGTATGTTACTGTCTTAATGACGTCAGGAAGCTTCCAAGAAAAAGATCTATTGTATTATCTTCATAACAGTTGCAAGGTCTATTATTTCTCAGAAACTAATAAATAATTTCCTTTTTTAGAAAGGGCTCACAAGAGTTTCATAACATTTAAATAATAGTTTAAGTGTAAAGGGAAGTAGAGCTGAAAATGAAATTTATTTGTTTTAAATGTAGTAAATTATGTAGACACTGCCAAACAAAAGTACTACATCTCTACTAATTACCAAAAAGGCAGAAGTAAGAAGCAAAAGATTGTTCAGCTAAATTGGTAATTAACCAATTAATAGCTTGAGGAAACTAAAACTGGACACCGAAAATAAGCTTTTGAAAATTAAAAGCATTTCTGGCAATAATGTGGCTTTAAGCTTTAATAGGAAATTTAATGTAGGTTTATTAAATTTTGTGGAAAATGAAATTAATGTCAAGTGTGTAGAAATTCATTGTTTTAAGTTATTTTGAAAGTCAGAAACAGAATAGAATGTAAAGGAGACGTACATTGCGGGGGAATAAATGATAAAGCAAATAACAACATACATTATTTGAGGCATTGCATTCAAAGAGTATTCACCTATTGGAAAATATAAGGTATTTATATTATTTTATAACAGTGTATTGTTTTCTTTAAAGGCCTTAGAAATGAATAAATATTTCATTCTTTAGAAAGGAAAAATCTTTAATTCTATAATTGTTTAAATAATGATTTAAGACCATGCCTGATGTTTATCACCTGAAAAAAGTAACCCTGTATGTAGAATTATTTGTCATATGTTTGACAATACTCATTCTAAAACTTGTTAATTTTCGGAAAGTTCTTTGTTAGTTTCCGTAATTTATTATGATTTACACTTAATCTTTAGTGAAATTATAGATCTCGATACTTAAATCAATAAATATTGCATGATGGCCTAATGGTAAGCACAACAGAATTGTGACCACGTAGTTGCAAGTTCGAATCTTGAACATATATATTTGTTTTTTTGTAGTTACTTATCTTTTATTTACTTTAATTATAATTGTAACCTGAGTTGTTTAATCGTGTGTTTCATTTCTCATTTAAATAAAATTAAAACATATATTTTTTTATTTCAATATCATATGTAGTCATAAAGTGGGTGACTTGCACGCAAAAAACATAGTGGTACGTTAAGTTTTGAAAAATATAATAAAAAAATCGTACAAGAAAACAAAAAAATGTCATTAAATGTTTGTTCCTACAATCTTTAATTAATGAAACTAACTTAACTTTAAGTATTACACTTTGACACTGAGGTTAGTTAAGGAAAATGTTATACTGGTAATTTTAAGTTATATTTATACCAATTTACAATACATTATAAAATTCTTAAGGTTTATAATGACCGATATTAAAATATCGCAGGTCAATATTGCGGTACAATACAAGCAGCAAAATGTAAACTAAGTGTAGATCTAGACTAGTAGACAGAAGCAAGAGAATATGGTAAATTATAATTGGCCAAAAATAAAAAGCTTTTGAGGAATAAAAATGATAGCATTTCTGAGGGATAATGGGCCAACAATAACAATAATGATGATGACAATAATAACAATTATGAATAACCTAAGTCTAATCAAAGAATGAACAATAATTACAAGGAAACAAGAATGTAATATTTCAAATTTACTTTTTTTTACTCGAAACTCAGTAGCTAATAAAAATTTTAAGCTTGACCTGGTGTTGTACATGTGTTCCTCACCTTTTTAAATCATTGAAAAAAGAAGAGAAGTTATCCATTGATAGAAATTGTGTTCCTCCCCTTTTTAAATCATTGAAAAAAAAGAAGAAAAGTTATCCATTGATAGAAATTGATTGTACATGAAAAAAGATAAATCTATACAATCTGACATTTCAGAATGTCTGAAGCACCAGATTACACAGAGGCAGCGTCACTGAAACTATCAGAAGTTCTTGCTGATATAGGCGTGAATACCAGAATGATACTGAAGAGGAGGAGAGCAACGCTTCTGTTTGAATCAATGACAAACATGTCTTGTTATATATTAGGTTTAAACATGATACGACAATACATAATGGGTAGTCAAGCAGAAGGCACAACTACACCAGGACTAAACTCAGATACTGACTTAATTATCTGTTCTAACATTTTCCATGTGATACAAGATTGGAGTGACTGGCAACCTGGTGTAATAAATCTACTGATGATTCAAGATCATTCTGTATCCCCAGGTTACTGTCAACTTCAATTGTTAAGTCCTGAAGAACCTCTACCTTTCCCCGAGTGGGGAATTATGCTCTCTACTTTATCAGACCTTATCAGAACAGACAGAATTGGAAGAATATGTTTTAGGAATTCTTTTTTAACAAGGTCTGCTTTAAGTTTGAGTGGATTAGTACGGCATGGTCCAGCATATTCATCAGTAGAGAAGGATGTAGTTTTTGCTTTTACCAGTTCAACATGGCCGTTACAAGCTAGACAATGGTTGCACCAACAAAGTGTTGGTCAATGGCCTACTGATGAAATCAAACAATACTGCTGTAGTTCTGGTTGTTTTCTTGTTGGAGTTGGTGGTCAACATGGCAGTGAAAATGAGGATCTTGAATGGAGGATATCAACATGTTCAGCTGAGAAATGTTTAATGTATAACCTAAATATTACACAGATTCGCTGCTATGTCCTGATGAAAATGATAATAAAAACATTCATAAATCCATTGTTTAATGATGTGATTTCTAGTTACATGTGTAAGACAGTTTTGTTCCACTGTATTGAAGGTACCCAGTCTATTATTTGGCAGGAAAATAACTTAATTGTATGTTTATCGTTGTGTATTCATGATTTGTACACTACCATTCTTAATGAAAATTGTCCACATTTTTTTATTCCTGAAAACAACTTGATGAGAGGGAAGATTACACCTGAAGTCAAACCTTTCATACTGGATATACTTCAGCGTATCATCAACAGCAACGGGGTAGCACTACTAGGAATCAAGTGTGATGATCTTGGTACAAGGCTTCAGCTTAAGTTCAACAATATATTAATATGCCCATTCAGAACATATGACGATGTTTTAAAGAAACTACTAGAAAGCCTAAGTTGTTTTTTTTTATCTGATCGAGTTATAATGTACATGATTTTGAATATGGAACCAGTACAGGTATCAAACATGTTAAAGCAGGCTATTTCTGACCTAGTTAGTCTTCAATGTCATGGACTAGACAAGACAGCTCGCAATCTTCTAGCATCAAAGGTCTGTTCAATGCTAGGATCTGTTTTAGCTTCTATCGACATACAACAGTATAATACAATATCAGCTGAGACTCTCAAATGGATCTCCCTGGGTCTAAACGCTGATGTTGCATCTAGTAAACTCAAACTTGCCTCAATGCTATACTGTACAGGGCAGTTTAGAAGAGCCGAAATTGTTCTCTGTGATATTGAAAAGCATTATGACCTTAAAATTGTTGAGCCTATTTGTCCACACTACATAACAGCACATTTAACTTACAATGCAGGATGTGATTTACAGATTGAAGAAGCAATGAAATGCACAGTAGCAAACTGTGTACAATTTTGGCCATGTGAAGTCTATTGTTCTCCAAAGGAATTAAGACAGGAAATGTTTCGATCTACAGAAGAGGACAAAGCTTTCAGAACATTGCACGACTTCTGGATGAACAGTGCTGAAGTGGATTCTCTAACTTTCCTCTACTTTCTACAGTACAAGATATACAGCCATCTCAACAAACAAGAAGATAAACGTGTGGCACTCTCTAAACTTACCAGAACCATTGAACAAGAACCAAGATTAGCTCACGAGGAAACAGCCTTGAATTTATTGGGGCAGTGCATGGAACAGGAACACAGACCTATAAATGCATTACAGTGTTATTCCCTGTCACTGAATATAAGGAGGAGAAACAATGCTGCAAAGATTCATATCTGCAGACTTTTGAGTACACTTATAAATAACAGATAGTTAAAACCTATACAGTCATGTATCAATAAGGACAATAAATGGTTTAGATTTATTTAACCACTATCATTCTGTCCTTCATACACCAGAATGGAAGATTAAAGGCTCATTATGCCTAAGAAATGATAATTATTTTCCTTCTTTAGAAAGGGCAAAAATGAGTTTTACAATGTTTAAATAATGGTTTAAGAGCATGTTTAATGTCTGTTACCTGAAGAAAATGGCGTGTAATGTGAAATCACTTTTCATAAAAGTTGCAAAATGTAAACAAAGTTGTATATTGACTTCCATACAAAATTATTTTACTATATCACTATATCTGTACTAACTGCCAGCATGCAACAGAAGCAAAAAATGGTTCGGATACTAGTAAATGGCTTATTAGGAATTTCTTTTGGAAACTTTGACAGGACATAGAAAATAAAAGTATTTTAAGGGCATAATGGGCCTTTAACTTGATTTAAGTATTTAATAGCCAAGTGGTATAAGTACAAGTTTCACAGTGACAATAACAATAAAATCCTTGTTTTTCAAGTATCAAATTATTGAAATAATATTGTGATACATACTTAGTGATCAACAGGAGAAGCAGATATTCAAATACAAGTCAATCACAGTGAACATTTATTTTATAGCATCTTTTTCATTAATTCATCATTTTCATCATTAATCAATTGTTGCAAAACATGAAAGGAAAACATATTGTACAGCAAAATAAATGCTTTTTAGAGAAAGCTATCAATTATGTCAGTGCATGTATTTAATATATTATAACTTTGTAAGATTTATTACTATGTAAATAAAATTTAATATTTATTTCTTTCTTTTATACTTTTATTATTATGAAATTTCATCTAATAAGTCCATGGACACATAATTGTCCTATGTAAAGATATTGCTTTCCACTATTTAGGCTCAGGTAGCTTTTTTTAAAGTGAAATAAGTAAGAATTTGATAAAACAATAAAAGTCCTCTACTTGAAAGATCCTTACTCTAAATAGAACCAAATATTGATGCTTGACATTTATAAAACTAGAAATTTGTCCAAAGGACACTTATGCCACTGCTTCATTTTTGCTTTTCAGTGTCAATTATTAAGACATACTAATAAAATTAATTTTCTCCAGCCTTTTAATATTGTTAGATAAGAATTACACATCAAGTTTTCCATGACCTGGAATTGATTACCTCAAAATCAATATGGGTCATTACCTGGCCATGTAAAATGTTCCTAACAAGTTACATATACCAGCACTCTCTTATTGGATCAGAAATGGTAATACACAGTGATGAATTAAGTGTGACCGTGACCATATATTCCAACCAAGCAACATATACCACAGCTTATTCCCTTCTCAACTTACAGATTAAAAAATGGTAATTAAAACACAGTGTACTTGTTACTGTAACCTTTTGACCTTACAAGATTGTCTAATGGCTATAGGTAATGCCCCTACCAAGGTACATAAACCATGGCTTATTCTTTCTCAAGTTATTGATCAGACAATGATTGTACACAAAAAATTGCTGTGACCTTGACCTATTGACCACAAAATCACTAGGGACCATCTCCTGGCCTTGGGGTGAAGTTCCTTCAAAGGAACAGAAGCCAAGGCTTATTGTATCTTAAAGTTAATTGATCAAACAAAGATTGTCACTGTAACCTTGACCTTTGACCAAATGATTTCAGAAAAAGTTAAGATCATCTAGTCTGGCTATAGGGTATGTCCCTAGAAAGCTACACGATAGCCATGGCTTATTCCCTCTCAAGTAAATGAATCAACAAAAACTTCAAACCAAGTGTCACTGTGAGCAGGATGCTGACCTTCAAAATCAAAAGGATCATCTACTGCCAAAGATTAATTTCCTACCAAGAAAAACCACAGCTCCTTCCTCAAGATAATGATCATGCATAAGGATGGTTTGGCCAATCCAATCCATGCAAATAAGTGGTGGCATGAGAAGGAAAAAACCTTATTACTTTACAAGAGGGCCATGATGGCCCTGAGTAGCTCACCAAAAACAACTGCTTTTCAGTGTTGGAAATTATCCATTGTCAATATTTTCTGATATTAAATTTGAGCCAATCAAATTAATATGAGCAAACTTGATAAAGGACTACCTAATAATGCTACAAAGTTTGGTGATCATCTATCAATTATTTCAGTAGGAAATGATGTTCAAAGCTATTTCTATTTTTAGCTTTAGCGGACCCTAAAATGGGCCAATCAAATTAATATGATCAAACTTGATAAAAGACTACCTAAGCATGCTACAGACAATATTTGGTAATCATTCATCAATTAGTTCTGTAGAAATACACGTTTAAAGGTATTTCTATTTTTAGATTTAGCTGCCCCTAGATTGGACCAATCACAATAATATGAGCAAACTTGGTATAAGACTACCCAAAAATGCTACAGACAAAGTTTGGTGATCATCTATCAATTAGTTCTGTAGAAGATGTCTAAAGGTTTTTCTATTTTTAGCCCTAGAGACCCCTGAAAGGGGCCAATCAAATTAATATGAGCAATTTGATAAAAGGCTACCCAAGAATGCTGCAGACAAAGTTTGGTGATCATCCATCAATTAGTTCTCTAGATATAGATGTTTTAAGTTATTTCTAATTTTAGCTTTGACAAAGTTTGATGATGATTGGTTCAAAAATGTGACCACTAGAGTGTTCACAAGGTTTTTCTATTTTTAGCTCCTGTGACCTAGTTTTTCATCAGAGATGACTCATGTTCGAACTCATCCAAGCAATTGACTAGACAAGCATTCTGACCAAGTTTGATGATGATTGGTTCAAAAATGTGACCACTAGAGTGTTCACAAGGTTTTTCTATTTATAGCTCCTGTGACCTAGATTTTCATTGGAGATGACCCATGTTCGAACTCATCCAAGCAATAATCTAATCTAATTTAGCTCCTTTGACCTAGTTTTCCATCCGAAATGACCCAGTTTCGAACTCATCCGAGGAATTGACTAAACAAGCATCCTGACAAAGTTTGATGATGATTGAGTCATAAGTGTGACCACTAGTGTGTTCACAAGCAATTGTGGACGTACGACGGACGACGGACATTCACCGATCCTAAAAGCTCACCCTGAGCTAGCTCAGGTAAGCTAAAAAACAAAAAAACATTGTATTATAATACAGAGATAAACAAAGATAAAACTGTATTTTTACATCTTTTAATATTAAACACACAAAATATAATTTGATCACATGATGTCCCATTTCTCTTCAAAGGCATTACACAGTTTTGCACAAGTTAAAGCAGCAGAGAGTGGATAATTACTGATTGAGTATTCCTCTTCTGTATAGTCTGTATCAATCTGCAATATAAATATAGTTTAACATTAAACTATAGTCTGTTCCAAAATACAAGGGTCTTGTCCAGGACCATATATGTCATCTACTTATAGTTTATTCAAATTATAGCAGTAACTATGAAAGGAGTGATGACTCAGTGGTTAAGGTGTCTGCCTCTTATCCTAGAAATCACCGGTTTGAACCCTACTCCTGGTCACAACCAGGTTTCTTTATATGACACCACAAACAGGTTTCCTCATGACACCACAACCAGGTTTCCTCATGACACCACAACCAGGTTTCTTCATATGACACTACAACCATATTTCTTCATATGACACCACAACCAGATTTCCTTATATGACACCACAACCAGATTTCTTCATATGACACTACAACCAGATTTCTTCATATGACACCAGTACTGGTTTAGTTCAGGAAGTGGATTTGAAAGTGATTGATTTAACTTAAAAGAACTTGTTTTGCAAACAAGCTCATATAAATGTGTTTAAACTATAATGTCACTAAACTGATATGAACTCCTTTGTGTGGCTTTAAAAGAAGTGCATCATTACCCAATTTGTGTGGCTTTAAAAGAAGTGCATCATTACACAATTTATGTGGCTTTAAAAGAAGTGCATCATTACCCAATTTGTGTGGCTTTAAAAGAAGTGCATCATTACACAATTTGTGTGGCTTTAAAAGAAGTTGATCATTACACAATTTGTGTGGCTTTAAAAGAAGTTGATCATTACACAATTTGTGTGGCTTTAAAAGAAGTGTGTAGTCTGAATTACAGGAGATAAACATGTAAGCTCTATATTAAACTTACACTGCCATGAGCCATGGCCCCTACCACAAACACTACAGGATCATCAGAAGGAACTAAGGTCCGTGGATCAACACATTTCTCCGCTTTAAATGACATACCAATCTTCTTACATCCTATAGGTAAATGATCTGTCACTGGGTTCTTTATAACCTAAAACACAGAAACAAAACTGGTTTACAAGGCAAGATAGTAAAATGGTAAAGGATACATTTGTCAGACACATCTGAAGAACCAAGTTTTTGTAAAAATAGTCGTGACATAATAAAGTGAATATTTATGAAGCCAAATAAAGCTTGACATTAAGCATGTTTATATTCATCTGTAACTATCGCTCATGCCGAAGTTTCTAATTTCTGTAGAACAGCACAAACACTAACATATGCTTAGGAAGGGCTGAGTCAAACCAATAGTGTCCCCTTTAAGCTTTTCAAAAGACTACTCGGTTAGTGTTGATCACAAAAAACAAAAGTGTCCCCTTTAAGTTTTTCATATGACTAACTCGGTTAGTGTTGATCACAAAAAACAAAAGTGTCCCCTTTAAGTTTTTCATATGACTAACTCGGTTAGTGTTGATCACAAAAAACAAAAGTGTCCCCTTTAAGTTTTTCATATGACTAACTCGGTTAGTGTTGATCACAAAAAACAAAAGTGTCCCCCTTAAGTTTTTCAAATGACTAACTCGGTAAGTGTTGATCACAAAAAACTAAAGTGTCCCCCTTAAGTTTTTCAAATGACTAACTCGGTTAGTGTTGATCATAAACTAGAACTGTGTCCAAAGGACACGGATGCCCCCAGACAACATATATATGGTATATAGTGAAAAAATCAACAAATGGCCATAATTCTGTTAAATTTGGTCCCAGCAAAAATTCCTTCCTTTACTTCCATCTACACATTAAGGTTGTTCATCCCTGGAAGTTTAAGCAAAATCTGCCATCCGGTTTAAGAGGGGTTGCGTTCACAAAATTTCTATATGGTATATGGTGAAAAAATCAACAAAGGGCCATAATTCTGTTAAATTTGGGCGCAGCAAAAATTCCTTCCTTTACTACCATCTACACATTAAGGTTGTTCATCCCTGGAAGTTTAAGCAAAATCTGCCATCGGGTTTAAGAGGAGTTCGTTCACAAAATTTCTACATAGTATATAGTGAAACAAGAGCTGTCACAGGAGACAGCCAAGCTCGACTAATAAAATACTGAACGCAGTAAGGAGGACAAAACTATGAAAGAAAAATCAATTATGTATTAATATGTATTAAGTTATAGTAAAAAAATAACATATGTTAACATAAATTCCAAGATCAAGGGAAATAATTCTAGAAATAGTCACGCTAGAGTTATGAACCTTGTCACACAACATGTGTGTTATGATAAGAAATATATATTTGAAGTTTGAAGTAGATACCTTAAAAAGTAAAGAAGTTATAATATTTCTTAAAGAAAATCCTAAGTTCAAAGAGAGATAAATCTGTAAAAATTGCTTCAAGAGTTATGAACATTGTCACATAAAATGTAATTGATGATAAGGAATAAGTATTTGAAGTTTGAAGTAGATACCTTTAAAACTAAAAAAGTTATAGTAAAAAATAACATTTTTCTAGTAAAAAAATCTAAGTTTATGGGGAGATAATTCTTGTAATATTGGTGCTAAAGTTATGACCCTTGTCACATAAGATGTGGTTGATGATAAGGAACATATATTTGAAGTTTGAAGTTGATACCTTAAGAAATGACAAAGTTATAGTGAAAAATATTTTACTGCACCAAAACTTGAATCTGAAATCTAAGTTCAAGGGGAGATAAATCTGAAATTATTTGTGCTAGAGTTACGAACCTTGTCATATAAGATGGGGATGATGATAAGGTACATATATTTGAAGTATGAGGGTGATCCTTTAAGAAATAAAGAAGTAACAGTAAAAAATATTTTTTAAGGAAAATTCTAAGTTCAAGGGGAGATAAATCTTAAAAACATTGGTGCTAAAGTTATGACCCTTGTCACATAAGATGGGGATGATGGTAAGCTACATTTATTTGAAGTTTGAAGTTGATACCTTAAGAAATAAAGAAGTTACAGTAAAAAATAGTATTTTTTAAGGAAAATTCTAAGTTTAAGGGGAGATAAATCTGAAAATATTGGTGCTAGAGTTATGAACCTTGTCACATAAGATGTGGTTGATGATAAGGAACATATATTTGAAGTTTGAAGTTGATACCTTAAGAAATGACAAAGTTATAGTGAAAAATATTTTACTGCACCAAAACTTTAATCTGAAATCTGGACGCGGACGCCGGGGCGAGTAGGACAGCTCTCCATATACTTCGTATAGTCGAGCTAAAAATCAACAAAGGGCCATTATTCTGTTAAATTTGGTTGCAGCAAAAATTCCTTCCTTTACTACGATCTACATATTAAGGTTGTTCATCCCTGGAAGTTTAAGCAAAACTGCCTTCCGGTTTAAGAGGAGTTGCGTTCACAAGATCTCGGGACGGACGGACGGACTGACGGACAAGTGCAAAGCTATATGCACCCCACTTTGTGGGAGCATAAAAACAAAAGTGTCCCCCTTAAGTTTTTCAAATGACTAACTCGGCAAGTGTTGATCACATCATTCTATTCATTCCAAGGAACATTACTATTGGTAAATTGATTATATAACAATTTAAATAAGGACAGTATCTTTCATTATCATATGTAAAACTTTCAGGTACAAGCTTACTTGATAGCTTCCTTACATGAAAGAATTCAATGTTTTGTAGGCAGCCTTGGCAACAGCAAAGTAAGCTGTCTTAGCAAGAGCAAAGTAAGGGACCTAGGCAAGAGCAAAGTAAGCAACTTTGGCAAGAGCAAAGTAAGCAGCCTTGGCAACAGCAAAGTAAGCAGCCTTGGCAACAACAAAGTAAGCAGCCTTGGCAACAGAGACCCATAATGATGGCGAGTATGGTGAATAAGAATTTGTTGACAAACATGACATACAGTAGTGAGTACCGAAATAATGTATTTACCTTTAACAATTTTTGAGGACCATCAGCTGCATGTATACTGAGCTTGTGTAATAACTGAACTGAAATAAAAGAGCAACAATTCAGTTAATTTAGTAAGAAAATTTGTGGTTTTGTCACCAGTTAAGTTAGAAAGGCACCATAAGAGCTTTACAGTCTCAATCTTTAAGATTTTTCATTAAATATTTACACTTAATTAGAAATCAACTTTTTACAGACCTATAAATTTAAATAGATTTGTATTCTCATAATAAGAGATCAATAAAAACACTGTAAATACATTTTGTACAGATATTGTTAACCTCTTTTTGTTTTGCTTGTCAAACCCCAAAAAATTTTGAAAAAATATTTTTTTAAAATGCTTTAAGTATTTTTTTAACCATATTTAAGTCGTTTGAAAAACAAAAACTCCCAATTATATAATAAACTTTCGAGATCATTTCCCTAAACCCAAACTGGTTCATATAAAGAAACATGATCATGACCCCATTAGGACTTTAAACCATGATTTCTGAGTTGAGAGGCGGACAACATAACCACTAGGCCACAGCTTCCTTTAGTAGCAATGTTAGAAGATGAATATTGATAGCATACCCATCAGACCACTAAATCTGTCAAAAGTTCTCGGTATCCTTGTCTGAGGGTTGACCTCTATGAGGACATTTTTCTCTGTGTGTATATAAACTTGTAACAAACCAGCTCTGTTTAACGGGCTGTCCAGTAACATCAACAGGCACTGTAATCAAGACAAGAAATTATAAATATCCAGCCAGGGCTACAGATAACATTTTGTGTATATTGGGTGATTACCCCTTGTTTTGTGATCTATTGGGTTTTTTCTATTTTCTTAGAGTTATTTCTGTTACCCTCTCTAACCAATTTGGGTTATAAAGCACAAGTTCATGTATTTAACCCAAAATTTCTGAACTTCTTTTAGTCTAAATTAGACTGTTGTAGGTTTTGTATGGTAATTAAAAAGGTACTTACTTCTATGCTTTATGGTTTATTGGCCTAGGAGATTTCCAAGCTACCTGATATAATTTTAATGTTAAAACAGTCTGAAACAGTTTGATCTGCCTTATGTACCGCATTAAGTATAACATACATCATTACGTACCAGTTCAAATGTAGTTTGCATAAATAAGAGTTTATTTATTTTTTCTTACCCTTAGTTATTATTTCTATTGTGGTTTTTGACACATTAGTTGGGTAATTACGCAAATACGCATGTTATCTGCAGCCATGTCCAGCAGAAGGAAAACAGTCTCACTATTGTTTAAAACGTTTTGTAATGAGGTTGGCTGTAATTTTTTCAATTTAATTATGAAAAATAAAGCTTACTTCCCTTGACATCTCTATATTTCCAAAATTTATAGTAATTTTCCTCGACATTATTTTTTTTTTAAATTTATCATTCAAAATGTGTTCCACAGAAAGGAATGAAAGACACTTTGGTTAAAAAATGAGTACTACCATTTAAATGTCTCGTTTATGATAACACTGGGTATTTCCTTTTTTGGCATTTGTTATACATACATGTATTTTGTTCATTTCATAAGGTCTGAAAATTTTGCATTATAACTTGGCTTCATGGCCACCTTCACTATAACCATTCATGTGCAAAGAAATATTCAAATCAATGCTATATCTTTTGTGTCTCACTTTTGTGATTCTCTAAGAAACATCCAATTTTAATTCACATAATGCTTCCTCAGAACATGGGAAAAATGCAAACCTGATGTGTAATATCTGGTCGACAGGTTGAAATATCTCTTTTAAACTTTTTTGCCACACTTTTATGTTTGTCACAGTTCAGAAGCTCAAATGTTTTCCCATTCTGAAATTGTAAAATAGATAATTTTGCACCAATTACTGTAAATGTACATGTATGTTAAAATACATAATTTTACCCTTAATACTGTATGTTAAATAACAATTTATTTTAAGACTGAAGTTACACAAAATTCATTATAAAAAGATCAACATATGAAGGTAAAGATACAACATTTCAGAGTAATAAATAGATGTAATAGCAAAGTTAGAAATTAACTGTGAACAAGATTGTAAACATAAAGAATGTGTCCCTTTTATTTTAATTAGCTAAAGTTAAAGTACTTAATTACTGTTTCTGAGGAACATGATGAGAATTTTATGTTTAATATCAAAATGATTTATTATAATTATGGTAAAAAAGAAAAGGGGAGCGCTGAAAAGTACTTGGGTGTTTACATCACTTCTGACCAAACACATGACCCAGGTTACATGAAATGCAATATTCCATCAAAACAGAAAACAACTACACTAGAAATGTGTCCATAGAACACGGGTGCCCCCACACTCCACCGATTTGTTAATCTTATGTCTCTAGGTCAATTTTTTTTGTTGCTACATCTGCCCAAGTTGAAAACTAAAAATCTTGTATTAAGTAAAGGGCAAATACTACAAATACTGAGTAAATCCACAAGAGAACCCCAAGATGCATAAGTACACATGCTGAGCACCATTCCTGTAAGGTCTCATGACTCTAGGTCAAATATTTTTTTGAGTAACGTGTGACACAAGTTGAAAATTGGAATTTTTTTTTAAGTCAAGGGCAATTACTCTAAAAATACTAAAAATATCCACACGAAAATACCCAGGTGCGCAACTACACATGCTGAGCAACATTCTTGTAAGGTTTCATGACTCTAGGTCAAATATTTTTTGAGTTACGTGCAACACAAGTTGAAAATTGAAATTTTTTTCTACGTCAAGGGCAATAACTCTAAAAATACTAATAATATCCACACAAAAATACCCAGGTGCACAACTACACATGCTGAGCAACATTCTTGTTAGGTTTCATGACTCTAGGTCAATTACTTTTTGAGCTACGTGCCACACAAAAAGGGAACAGAAGGACTGATTGACAAGGGTAAAAATCTAGATCCCCCCCCACGCATAGTTGGGGCACTAAAATCCTTGCATGACAACAACTCTAGCTCAGTCTGGAGTCCAAATATCACTGAATGACTAACTTTATCAGAGCATTGGGCTGCTCTGTTGTTGGGCTTTGCAAACAAAGGAAAAAAAGTAGCATAATACGGGGAAGTCAAAGACCGGGCCCGCGAAGCAGGTCCGGGCTTTGGCTTGCCCGGCTATAGACTACACGTGTCTATTAAAAAAAATTAAAAAAACAATAGAAAAAAATATATAGAATTCTATACCTATCAATGAAATTTTCAGTGTCAGTTCTAGTCGGGCGCCGCCATTTACAATGTAACTCAATGATAAAAGGCGGGGTATTCCGATAACGGAACAAATCTCAACTTTTCGGATTAATAATAATCGTCGAGTGTTCCGAGTGAAAACGGAAGCAGTGCATGTAATATCGAATGACACCTTTAAAACAGAAAGAATGAAAGGAAATTTTTTAACAACTTCCCCGTTCATAGGCTTTGCCTAATTTCATATTAGTAATACATATATATAAATTATTTGAAGTTGACCATGCAGGTAGAACAGTATGAAAATCTGAAAATTCCTGTTGACAAGTGTGTTATTAAGATCACAATAATAAAGCTTCCATTTACGTTTCGCTTACAGTGGAAATTGTCCTGCATGTTGAGTGGTACATTGCAGGGCCTTTCAGCATTATAAGCAACAGGAGAGAGGAGTTAGTCCAAATGGAACACAGCTGATTTAAAGCGGTCTACTGTCTTAGCTTGTGCAACACTATCACTCAATTTATTCCATTTATTCACTCTAAGTTTATTTACACGGACAGGCGTCAAGTAGTCTTGGCAAGCCAGCAGGGACGACGCAAGCCCGGCCACCTAATAAACCTTTGTTAGTCTGTTGGCTTTCCTTAGGTGCTGAAGTTAACGTAGTTTCAGGTCTCGAAGCATTAAAGAGTGACACACCCAGTGAACCTGGTTGTGTAGTGGCCTGTGATAACCCTAGCAGACCGTTTCTGGACCTTCTCAAGCTTGTCAATGTCTCTATGGAGGTATGGATCACAGACGATCAAACTGTATTCCAGGGTGAAGAGTACCAGAGACTGGAATTCTGTTTTGCGACAAGATTCAGGGCTGTGTTTCAGGTTCCTTCGGGCTTCACCAACATAAACTATAACAAGCCTGTAATGTCTGATATATTGGATTAAGAAATCCTAAGCTAAGGTTGAGTTTGCCTTCTTCAGTTCTTGGTAATCTTGTTAATGTGGTTTTTAGTGCAAGAGATTATCTTTCCTCTAACTCAGAACAAAAATATCTCAAAATTTAGCTATGTCACGTCAAAATAAATTGACTTGCAGTGGAAACAACTTTTCTGTAGATCTACATGTTCTTAGTTAATATCGCGAAATTACATTACAAATACATATTTCTTGTTATGTTTCCTACCTTTACAGACTCAAGTGACGCTTTTTCTAATATGACGATCAAACGCTTTTCATTTGACGTTTTTGGCACACTTTTGATAATTTTCTCTTTTTCTGGAGCCTTTGATGCCATGTTTAATTTATTATATTTTTAATTTTTCACGTGTTTACAAATTTGGATTAACGCCGAACAAATCCGAATTAATTGAAGAGTACGCTTCAGTCGCCAATGTAAACAACTTTTATTTATCGTTCAAATATGATGTTAAATATGATATAAATGTCAAATTGTACAAAACTTCAGTTAATAATAGATAGCAAGATTTGATTAACACTATTTGAACTATGTATAAATATGGGAAAATACTGAAAATGTGATTGTTTGGGTTGCGATAACTTACATATTTTCGGATAAGATTTTCATCCGAACTGTCAAGAGAATATTGAAAAGATCATCTGAAATTTTACAGCATCATTGCCATTTATCACAGATACTTCAACAATGTCACGAGCTGGAGGTACCAGAGGGAGCAAGGTAATATAACTGTGTACTGTTTTGATTTTGGATTGTCAAAATGATTTTAACAGTCATATCAAAACTAATGACTCTAGGATAGTTGTAACGATGTTTAAGACATTGTTAACTATGTTTTTATACATGTCACAATATACAGTTATTTCATGGTTATTTGTGGAATAGTCAAAACTGTTGCCGCTCGGTATCAGGGATGACATTTTGAACTGTTGCCAGAGGCTTCAATGCGTAACATAGAATGGGGGCTATTTGAGAAGAAGTGCGAACGGGAATCCCAGATGTTCATTTGACATTGTCAAAGTGCTCCATGTTGATGTACATATGTTGTAAATGCTGTTTTAATACAAATGTTTATCACAGCTTAGTAATTTTTTGTACATGTGTTTGCTTTATATTTATATTTTTGCTGGCAAAATTTGTAAAACATATTGTTTCAAAGTATAAAAATGAACCTTCCGAACAACCCTCGTAATATTGCTACAGCCACAGACAACAACATTAATGTGACATTTATAATTATGGAAGTCAGAACAAGATGGTTTATAACTTAGTTAATTCAAATTTATCTTGCAAAGTCCTTTAAATAACTTCCACAGAAGACTGTAAAATTCTAATAAAGCCAGAAGTTTGACACAGAAAATAGAACTTTACTGTTATATTTCAATAATACAGAAGATGTGTCAGGAATTTCAGCCATTAGAGCCATGAGTGTGAAACATTTTCATATGATCCAAGTTTGGAGTGATTATAGTCAGAATGCAAATTTTACTCTTATTTTGTGACTGTCACACTTATAAGTACATATTTCTTGTTTCCGATATCCAGGGCCACGGGTAAGGATATCAATAAAATTGTTGATTTTTAATTACAAAGCTTTTAACTTTTAATTTGTATATTTTGTATGTAGAAGGAAGCTTTATGCTTGACCAAGTTTATTGAAACATATCTTCTTATTCTAATAGAAGGCTCAGACTCCAGGCACATCAGGAACACGACAGAGTCGGGCAGGTTCTATAAGGTCAGACATGACTCCTATATCTGAAGGAGACGATGCAGAAACTCTGGGAACTGAGGTAAAACATTATACACAACCTTATACTGGTTTAAGTACAGTCATATTAGAGCAATTTGAATTGTGCTAAATTGGGTGAATATTTTTTTTCTTGATTTATGTTTTATAATGTCCAGATACTTTCTGTTAACTGAGTGTTTCAGTATATGTATTGTATCATTGAACTTAGTTTCTTATAGCTTTCCTATATACAAGATTATAGTATATGTGCAACATCTAGTTACAATACCAATAAAGTCTAGCTCTGTTTTAACTCAGTCATTTTATTGCATTATGACAGTAGTGAGTACTGACCATTGTTATTTTCTAGGCTATGTTTTACTGTGAAAAGAATCACACTATATTTGTTTACTTGTCAAAGAAGTTTAGTTCAAAATTTTATAAAAAGCTGTATTTTAAGTTCTACTCAGTTTTTAACCAATCAGATTATTAGTTGAAAATGTATTGATTTAATTGTAATTGTAAATGATAACTTTAAGCTGTCAGCTGTAATGCCCAGGAACAGATATCAAGCACCTCCTGGTTTCTTTAGCCAATCTTTGACAAGGTTTGAGCAGTACCTGGAAGATACACAGGTTCAGGTGATCTTCAGGAAACTTCTTCAAATCTTGCTGAACCGCCCTGAGCTGCCGTATAACCCATATCCCGGATTCTATGGGAGGTTAAGGGTTCATCAAGAAAGGTAACAATTTTTGTAATCAGTTTTAACATACATATATATTTATTTTAGCCTAGATTGTGGAGAACATTAAAAGCTGCGCTAATTTTAACCACTCTTAAGGTAATCTAACTATAATGCTTTCCCGCCAAAGAAATTCTAACATTGGCCTATATAGTAGCAAATAAGTTATTTCCGGAACTTTGTTTTTTCAAAATCTCTATAGTATTAGATTATTTACAATCACACATCCTTTATCACTATGTACTTAATTCCGATTATAAACAGTTAAAATATGGTTGAATACAGTATATTGTGAAAAATAACATTCTGAAAATGACCAATATTTTACAATATTGGCCAATATTTTGGCGGGAATTTAGCATTACATTATGACTACCTTAATTATTTGACTAGCCAGTACCGGGTGAGGCAAAAAATAATACTTATAAGTACCCTTTCTCTGAAGAGTTTTGTATCAATGTTGATCAATATGCATGACAAAGTTTTATATTATTGAACAATTTTTCATCAGTTTATTTTTTGGCAATGCATAGAAGACAAACCAAACTTTTTGTACATATCTTTGGATATTCAAATAGTGTTATCTCTCATGTACAGAGACATTCATGATTGTCTTCTATAAGTTTTGTTTTGTTTTGTTCACTTGAGTTCTTATGCAATACAATTTTTTTTTATTTTAATGTTGTTCTCTTAATTTGACTGATTCATTTCAGATTTCATCTAGAAAAACATCCAAGACAGAGAATTATGGCAAATTTGAGTTAGTATCTTTGATAAAGAAAATAGTTTTTTTTGCCAATTTGTATTTTGTAAAGTGATGTTACACCAGTTCCGTGTAATTGAAGTGTTCTTAACTATAAAATGGTAGTCTCATTTTTAAAGTTGAAATTTGTTTTTTACTATATGATATGAGTAAAATTTGTTTTTTAAAAGATACAAGATTTTCAACAAGTATTTTATTTGTTCACATGGTTTCAAAACTACCTTTTATTACACTAATACTAGCTGGGTAAACTCTTCTTACCTAAGATGCTAGTAATCTTAATGAGACTAGAATTAAAACTTTAAAGACAGTTTTCTCACAACAGCACCTGGATAGAAACACATACAGAAAAGCTGTCGCTAAATATCATCATTTCTTTATACAATCGAAACAATTAAAATTTGAAAATACCTAATTTAAAAGGCCACCTGTCATTTGAAACCCTTTTTCTCCTATTTCTTCAACACCGGACTTTATAAACAGGTTTGGGGGGCGTACGTGGCTGAGTGGTTAAGGTCGTTGTCTTTAAACCACTTGCCCCTCACCACTGTGGGTTCGAATCACAACATGGATTTTGGATTCTTTCATGTGAGGAAGCTATCCAGCTAGCTTACAGAATGTCAGTGGTTCTACTCAGGTGCCAGTTTGTGCCTGACAATTTATTTGTTTTATTTTTCAGAGAATGTTTTAAAGGACAGTTATATCCAGAATCTGTACACACTACACAGTCATCAGAATATATGGGGTTTAAGCAGTATCTTACGTGTCATAAATCCCGACGGATTGGAGAAATATCGATGGTTAATCAGTAATATAACACCAAGACTTGACCAGTTACCAACTGTGGAAGGATACTCAGTAAGATTTAACTGCTGTTTTGGTTTACATGATTATGTGTACATAGGATTAATTATGAAACATTAGTTCTTATAGTCTTTACTTCAATCAACATTGAGTCTAGTCCCTGGAAGTTACCAGAATTGATGTGATACAAAGGAAACTTGATTGTGTTCAGAGTAGGACCTTTACCCACAATCTCTTGGTTGAGACACAATACCTTATACACAAGGCATGATCAGTCCTATTCCAGACTTGTTAGAAGATCGCTTTGCAATTTTGTTTCACCGTAAAATAATGCTTAATTACAGTACATATGCCCCTTGTGGCAGAGGGATTGCCTTTTATGGTTGAGGCATGAAAAATTGCAGCCACTGTTCATCCCTGCATGATTGTAAGAGACAACTAAATGGGTCTATGCATCTTTTAGCTACAGCAGATGGGATGGTTTTGACACCTGGTGTTGCTTTGAAGTTTGTAACACACAAGGTTATGCCAAAATCATCTTTCCTGTTTTTGTGTTGTATGACCTACATTTGTATACTGTGCTGGTGCCCTGTAAAACCAAACAAACAAATATAGCACATATATTACATGTGTTTGTAAACAGGTTACTAACTTGAAAAGAGCGTGAAGAAACTGAACAACTTGGACTTTTATTTAAGATTTTAAGATACTTGAAAAAAAAAAGGATTTTGTTGTTGTTATTATTTTCAGAAAGACATTTTTAAATTGCTTATTTGAAACTTTACATTATATACCTTTCTACAAAAAAAATGAACACTTTAGACATGATAAAGAATTTTAGATTGTATTTTGTATATTGTAGAACCAAGTTATGGTAGCTCTGATTGGACCATGTATATTTGATGGTTCATTTTATCCAAGTGTTCACAGTGTTCAGATGAGATTAGAATACCTGGTTGCCGGCTCCGATGTTGAACAGGTAATAGCTTATGTTATGTTCTTAAACTCTCTGAAAGCTAGCAGTATTTATGACCAGCCTATACTGCTAGTATATAGCCAGATCATCATATGTTTGCAAGCAATATTTCCAGACCAGAATTTGTTTTCAAGCAATATTTCCAGACCAGAATTTGTTTTCAAGCAGTATTTCCAGACCAGAATTTGTTTTCAAGCAATATTTCCAGACCAGAATTTTTTTCAAGCACTATTTCCAGACCAGAATTAATTTTCAAGCAATATTTCCAGACCAGCTTGTGTTTTCAAGCAATATTGCCACATCAGCTTGTGTTTTCAAGCAATATTGCCACACCAGCTTGTGTTTTCAAGCAATATTGCCACACCAGTATGTGCTTTCAACCAGCCTGTGTTTTTAGGCAATATTGCCAGACCAGCATGTGGTTTCAAGTCATGTTGCCAGACCAGCATTTGTTTCCAATCAATATTGCCAACCCAGAATGAGGTTTCAAACAATTTTGCCAGACAAGCATTTGGTTTCAAGCAATATTGCCAGACCATTATGTGTTTACAACCATTATTGCTAGAATAGCATGTATTTTAAGCAATAATTCTAGACCAGCATTTTTTTCAAGGGTTTATAATTTATTTAAATAGCTGCCTCAGGGGGTGTCCATAGCTGAGTGGTTTAGGTTGTTGACTTTAAAATACTTGACCCTTACCACTTTGGGTTTGAACCTGACAGGGACTTTGGATTCTTTCATGTGAAGAAGCTAGCTTACGGGAACATAGGTCTTCCTTTACCAATCAAGCTGGAAATTGCCACATGACCTTTACTGTGTTGGTGCGACATAAAACCCAACCAAATAATTGAATAAGAAAACAACATAGCTGCCTCAAATTTATTGATTAATTTCTGCTTTACTTTAAAGAATTGAATTATATACCATTATAAATATGTTATAAAAACTTTTGACTGTTTATTTGGCTATTGATAAACAGTTATATGAATTGCAAATGGACCTGGTTATATAACCAGACACTGGCTAACACTTGACCATATAAACTAACAGAAGTATAATAGTGTTCAGCGCTGGAGCCCACAGGTAATGATTTCTCTGAAATATGTTAAAATGAAGAGTACACATCGGTAACTGTGGATGAATAATGTACATGCTATATTTTTCAGGGTATATCTATATATGTGAACAGTTTAATGAAGGAAATAGACGACATGTTCAACAGTGAGCATCACTTCCTGTTGGGCGTAAACATTCCGTCAGTGAGCCTTGTAAATCCTGACTCATGGGTCAAACATTATTGGGGCCCGGATAAAATACAGTCAGAAAAGGTACGTAGTCGTAACAGGTGTTATGAAATTTGAGTCACATCGGCTCTGTAAAGGTGATATGGTGCCTTTCCAGATTTATTGGTGACAGACGCTCTCCTGTGTGTGTTTTTTCAGGCACTGACATTTGAATAGAACTGATAAACTTTCTGAAATCATAAAAAATGTCCTGCCATTATTATTTGGTTACAAGTGGGCACTTTGATATAAATAAGCCTTGACCTTTGACAAACTTGCTAGATATACCCAGTAAGCATATTTATAATTTATACAAAATTATTTTAGTTCAATTGTGTTGAAATGAGTTCAATTGTGTTGGAAGCAATGACTGTAAGGTTTCTTTCTCACAGAAAAAACAGCTTTTCTCTGATTGAGCTTTAAACCCACAAGGTCATGTCATCACTTATAAGCATATTTAGAGTCAAGGTTTTGACCATTTCAACAAAAAATGTTTTTGAGTGAATGTCATTGATGACATAAAATATAATAAATTGCAGCTTATTCTACGCAAGAAGGAACTATATTAAGCATTGTGAAAAAGAAAGTCAGTATGTAAAGAAAGCTTATTGCAAAACATATGATTACTGTATGATTACATTTAGATTTCTGAACATTTCTTATCTGGACATTTATTAATATATTTATTTTATTGTGTTTCAGGAGACCTTTCTACAAAAGATAAGTGATGCAGTTATTGGGAACAGATATATCTATGTTGAGGTAACAACAAGCTTTACTGGTAGAGAATTACTTCAGATTCCCTGGTTATATGTTTATCCCAGCTCAATTAATCATCTGAATAGAATGGTTGACATTTTTTAAGCTTCATAAATGAATTCACAATTGTTAACATAATCTGAATAAGTTGAATGGAGCAAGTCCCTTTAAAATGAACACCCTTTAAATACAGCCATCAGTTATCGAATTTAGCACTGGCCCGGTGGGCCCTGGCCCCGTGAAAAATTAGCTTTGGGCCAGTTTTAAAATTTTTAAGAAAAATTTGGTTAAATATATGAGAAAAATTTAAAACTGGGAAATTTGGGGATAAATTCAAAAAACTTTAAATTTTAATGACTGGCCCTTCTATTTAATGAAAAAAACTTTGTTTTCAAGTGTAAACTTTTTTTAATATAAAAATTTCTATAAAAAATTGGCCCCCTTAAATTTCCCCGCGCACTTGCTAAAATATTAAAAAAAATTTTTACCAAAAATAATCATTCTTTCCCGCCAAAATATTAAGGGGTTTAATGTTATCAGACTATCCAATAATCATGTTTTCTAAACAATTTAACTTGATGTATGATTTCAAATCCTTTGAAAACCAAGTAAAACCATTAACCAATGTAAGTTCAAGATAAAAGAGTATAATTGTTTATTTCAGTGTATTTTCCTTCTAAATCCGAACTACCCGTCCTACATCAAGGGAGAGAAGCAGTATGGGTTTAACTTTGTAGAAGTTTCGGATGAGATGAGGGAAGAGGGGTATGCTAATTTTATTGTGTTTAGACTTTATAATGTCACTTTGATTTCAAGAGCGTAGTCAACCCAAGAAGGAACTATATTATGCATTTTGAAAAAGATGATATTGACTGACAGCCATCAGATATAAGGATTTTATACTGTTATATTATTCAAAATGTATCACTGTATGATACTATATCTGTTCATATGCTGTATATTTATTATCTATACTGTACATATAAATAAATGGGGTAATCTAAAAGGGGTCTTCCAAAAAAAAGAATATTACATCAGCTGCAGGTAACAAGGCTAGCTGAGTTTTCGCTAAGCAGTTACCCGAGGGCTAGATATTTGTACTTGTATTTGAAGTTGGTAAAATCAGCATCATTCAGTTGGAATAATTTTTTTCTCCTCTATACTTCAAAATAAAATATCTTAATCAATTAAACACTTATGCTTGTTAAAATTTAGGCAATAATTAAAATTTTACAACACAAATAAATCAATCACATTCATTTCTTTCACACAATGTTTATTTCCCTTAAATTTTGTATTTAAATTATGATAATCTAGCGATATCTAGTACAGGTAAAGGTTTCTTTCTGTTTGAAAAGTAATATGTATTTTTAGTCATATAATTTAAAATCTGGTTATATGATAGAGGTAAAATCTACAGAAGGAGAAGAAAGAAAAAGTAAGTGTATCTCACAGATATTTTTGGTAATCAGGTATTGGTAATCCTTATAAAAATGGTGCATTTTGACCAGAACACTGTGTTGGTTGTAGTTGCAATAGTTGTATGTTTTACATCAAACACTTTGGTAATTAAGGGCAGTGATGATGAAAGGAGTATATTTTATACCAAGCACTATGGTAAGAAGGTGATATGAATAAAAGGAGTATATTTTATACCAAGTACTGTGGTAAAAAAGGGTGATATGTATGAAAGGAGTAAATTTTATACCAAGCAATGTGGTAAATAAGGGTGATATGTATGAAAGGAGTAAATTTTATACCAAGCACAATGGTAAAAAAGGGTGATATGTATGAAAGGAATAAATTTTATACGAAGCATTGTGGTAAAAAAGGGTGATATGTATGAAAGGAGTAAATTTTATACCAAGCACAATGGTAAAAAAGGGTAATATGTATGAAAGGAATAAATTTTATACCAAGCATTGTGGTAAAAAAGGGTGATATGTATGAAAGGAATTAATTTTATACCAAGCAATGAGGTAACAAGGTGATATGTATAAAAGGAGTATATTTTATACCAAGCACTGAGGAAACAAGGTGATATGTATGAAAGGAGTATACTTTATACCAAGCACTGAGGTAACAAGGAGATATGTATAAAAGGAGTATATTTTATACCAAGCACTGTGGCAACAAGGGGTGATATGTATAAAAGGAGTATATTTTATACCAAGCACTGGGGTAACAAGGGGTGATATGTATAAAAGGAGTATTTTATACCAAGCATTGTGGTAACAAGAGGTGATATGAATGTAATGAGTATATTTTATACCAAGCACTGTGGTTACAAGGTGATATGTATAAAAGGAGTATATTTTATACCAAGCACAGTGGTAACAAGGTGATATGTATGAAAGGAGTATATTTTATACCAAGCATTGTGGTAGCAAGGTGATATGTATGAAAGGAGTATATTTTATACCAAGCATTGTGGTAACAAGGTGATATGTATGCAAGGAGTATATTTTATACCAAGCACTGTGGTAACAAGGTGATATGTATGAAAAAAGGAGTATATTTTATACCAAGCACTGTGGTAACAAGGTGATATGAATAAAAGGAATATATTTTATACCAAGCATTGTGGTAACAAGGTGATATGTATGCAAGGAGTATATTTTATACCAAGCACTGTGGTAACAAGGTGATATGTATGAAAAAAGGAGTATATTTTATACCAAGCACTGGTAACAAGGTGATATGAATAAAAGGAGTATATTTTATACCAAGCACTGTGGTAACAAGGTGATATGTATAAAAGGAGTATATTTTATACCAAGCACAGTGGTAACAAGGTGATATGTATAAAAGGAGTATATTTTATACCAAGCATTGTGGTAACAAGGTGATATGTATGAAAAAAAAGGAGTATATTTTATACCAAGCACTGTGGTAACAAGGTGATATGAATAAAAGGAGTATATTTTATACCAAGCACAGTGGTAACAAGGTGATATGTATAAAAGGAGTATATTTTATACCAAGCACTGTGGTAACAAGGTGATATGAATAAAAGGAGTATATTTTATACCAAGCACAGTGGTAACAAGGTGATATGTATAAAAGGAGTATATTTTATACCAAGCACTGTGGTAACAAGGTGATAATTGTATGAAAAAAGGAGTATATTTTATACCAAGCACTGTGGTAACAAGGTGATATGAATAAAAGGAGTATATTTTATACCAAGCACTGTGGTAACAAGGTGATATATATAAAAGGAGTATATTTTATACCAAGCACAGTGGTAACAAGGTGATATATATAAAAGGAGTAAATTTTAAACCAAGCACTGTGGTAAAAAAGGGTGATTTGTATGAAAGGAGTATATTTAATACAAAGCACTGAATTAACAAGGTGATATGTATCAAAGGAGTATATTTTATACTAAGCACTGTGGCAACAAGGGGTGATATGTATGAAATGGAGTATATTTTATACCAAGTACTGTGGTAACAAGGTGATATGTATGAAAGGAGTATATTTTAAACCAAGCAATGAGGTATCTCTTTAATGAAAGGAGTATGTTCTATGCCAAGCACTGTTGGGGGAAGGGAATTATTTTTTCATTTAACCATGGAAATTGTTCATTTGTACCAAGCACTTCTGTTACAAAAGAAAATTGTGTATTACTAGTATACAATGTAAGTTCATTCAGTATACAAATCAGTGGGAAAATGGGAAGTTGCACATTTGTACTGATCACTTATGTTATTTGGGAACACTTGTGTGAAAGTTGTATATTTTATCCAATCATTGGTACATAAGTTAGTGAAATAAATATCTACCAACCACTATACTAGAAGTAGTAAAGGTACAGTCATTAATGTAAAAATAATTGGTATAATTTTAACATTAATAATTAGCAAATCACTCTGTGTCATTTTATGATCAAATAAGCCTCTTATGTGTTTTGATAAATAAAAAACTTTACAACAGGAAGTTGTCAAAAATAGTTTAATTATTTACTCTCTTGAATCATGATAAATAGTGATACATTTTGTAAATCAACAATTTAAGGTAGTTTTACTGTAGCATTGACAGACCTGCCAAAAAATTCTAACATCGGCCAATATTGTAGCTTTTCGGTTATTTATGGAATGTTATTTTTTTCAAAATCTTGGGTGTTAGATTATTTACAGTCACTCATCCTCAAAAAAAGCTATGTATAAAATCTCGGTAATAAATGGTAAGAAAAAATTGAATACCGAAGATTGTGAAAAATAACGTTCCCGGAAATGAACGATTTATAACGATATTAGCCAATGTTAGAAGAATTATTTTTGGCGGGAAAGCATTACAGTAAGACTACCTTGAGATGAATGAAAGTTTTCATCACTGTGATCATTGTTTTGTTACAGGTTGTCAAGTTTCTGTGAGTATCCAATGGCATCTCTTCATGATGGTGTGTTCTTTGAGAGGTCACAAGCCGAAGCTTATATTTCAATTTTCCAGACACAGTTAGATGATTTTGAAACAGCAGACGCCTATGAGGCCGGTGAAGGTATGATACATTGTAGTACACTATATCTGCACTTGCTCTCAACACTGATTCAGAAATAATGTTGGATGAGTAGTTGGTCACTTGCGGTAGTTACTTGTTAGTAATCGAGGGAAGCCGGTTTGGTTCGGTGGATTGATGGTCGAGATATTACCATAAATTCAGCTTTAAAAAGTAGAAAAAAAGATATGATACACTATGCTTTAACTGCATTTGCTGTCACTGCTGATTCAGATTAGTAGTTGGTCACTTGCTGTAGTAACTGGTAAGTTATAATCCATGAAAGTAAATTCGAATAGGTGGATCGACTGCCAAGATGTTACCAAAAACGTGTTAAAATTGGCTTAAAAAACAGAAAAAAAAAAACCCAAACGAAACTGTAATTGCAAATCAAAAGATTAATGGGAAAGGTGACCTAGCTGTTAAGACTAGGGGTCATGATTATGTTTAAAAATTACTGCGAATTCACTTAAATTCGTGGGCATGAAATTTCGTGGTTTTATCAAAAAGGGCATTTTCGTGGGTTCTTAAATTCGTGGATTTTCGTTTTCTTGTTAAAAAAAATTCAGTAACCTAATGCAAAATAATCTTAAACTTTATTGCCGACCACTTTTACTTACAACATGTACATATCTTTACTTGTCACACAGCGCTTGTCAATAAATTTAATCCTTGCCTCTGGGCATAACTAATATAGCACAGTTACTGCCGATAATTGACTGCAATTAACACATGTATGTGACATGATATGCACCTCCATTGGACACACTGCCCCTGTTATTCGCAGATGTAAACATCGCATAATTTATACGACACCTGACAGGTTTTAACCAGGGAGTTTAAAAGTTTACACCCTGAATTGGTCTTAACATATTTGACAGTAACTACACGCAACATCACAGGGACTGTGTAAATTTACATGCATATAAATTAATCTCGGTAAATAACACGAGTATGTGTGGATCTTGTAAAAGTCGGTGGCGTCTTTGATGTTGACGGAATAGCATTCGCACAAATACAGATTAAAATTCATATAAACTGGATCATTTAAAACGACAAAAGAATGTACAATAAATTTGTTTTAGCGATCGTATTTTTTTTATAGTTTTGTGTACTTACGACATTTATATCAAAGACTTTTTTTTTTTAATAAATAAGAGCAAACTGACAATTTTTATTAGCGCTAATTATTGCACTGCCTTGGTTCCCATATTTACTTGATTATGTCAAGCATTCTTGTTGACACATTCAAGTCCTAGTAGACTACAACGATCAAGTACGTATATGCGACATTTGTGACAGTAAATTGAGGACATATAATCGGGTTTTCTTTCGAGTTTCTTAAATATTGTAAACGGATTTAATAAGTCACTAACCTGATTATCTGTCTGTATATACATCCATTTCACGAAATATCGGCCGGAAAAGAGCCGACGCATGTTTGTAATATATAGAACAAAGACTGGGTAAGAAGTATTTGTTGGGATAAAAGTTCGTGGGATCTTAAATTCGTGGATTGACCTACCCACGAAAACCACGAAAATTCGTGCCCCACGAATAATAATGATTTTACAGTATCTGGCTAGTTCCAGGATTGGTTTGAATAAGTTTCACGCTTCTACACCTTTTATCTGAAATAAACATATAACTTAAATGAAAGATTTATAAAACATAATCAATCATTTGTGTTTATATGATTTAATAACCTTAAATGTATATAAATGTCTATTTATTTACATCGTTTTCCTTAAAAGAGTCAAGTTTTTTTGTTATTATGTAGGTGCCCCACCAAGGAGTCCAGGGCTTGCATCACTAGGTCAGGGATCCCAGGCACCTATGACCACACGTCAGTCTCGTGCAGCCACTGCACAGAGTATGAACCGACGGTTCTCTGTATCACAACAAAGGGATGCACATCAGGTGCAGCAGCACGTGCACAATCGTCTCGAGCATGTTAAACCTCGGAAAGTGAAAATTGATGGATTCAGATTCGGGGATGAGAAATCTACAGGGCCATTTGCTTGGCAGATTACAACACCTGTCAAGTATGTTTTAAAGGCATATCATCTTATATTTATATCTTCTTTGTTATGTGTAAGAAAGAAATTTGACAGGTTTTAATAAGCACTGTAAAAATATCTTTTGTAATGAATTTGTCCCAATATAAAGTTCCCATCCATGAAATATATGAATGTGGTCCAATGCAGTTGCCAGCAACATAGACAGGCTCTTCTGTGTAATATGCACATGTGGTCAAATGCCATCATTATCTGAATATTGATCACATTGTTGTGAGTAACAAACCCTGCTAACCTTGACTAAAATTACTGATTATTTTAAACCAAGGTCCTGTGTATTGTTGCTTTACATACTGTGCACTTTTATTAACTGGTGGTTACTTTTGGAATTGGAAACCACTGTTTTCTAGCTTTCCAAAAAGAATAAACAAAATATTGAAGTCTCTGTAGGGAGTTGCTTGTATTGGTTTATGAAAGGGCCCAGAGGATCGATTGTGCTATTCTCAGTTTGTTTTGAGTGAAGGCTGTTCAATTTTAGGTCACTTTTCATATTTAGAATAGTTATTTTGGAAAAACGTAGCGAGCTAATGATCTGAAATTTTGCATATAAGTTGTTGGTATAGATCTACATCAAATGGAGTAATAATCTCAAAAATTGTTTCCAGTCCCGTCATGTCAAAACACCTCAGTGAAGTCCTTTTAAGGTCATTGACTTCGAAACACTTTCCACTCACAGCTGTGGATTTAAATGCCACCATTGACTTGGTTACTTTGATGTGAGGAAATTATCCAGCTAGATCATGAAGCATTGGTGGTTCTATTTTTGTGTAAGCACTGGAAATACTGAAGAGCAATGTTATACTACTGTGTATTGCTTTAGTTTGTCATGACTGAGAATCAGGTCACAAAATTCTAAAATTCAAAGATGATTGGCTCTTTAATTAAAAGTGCTGAAATAAATCTGTTTTATGGCTGTCTTAAAATTCTGCTTGTGAGATCACTTATGGCAGCTAGAGATTTATGATAATTTGCCAAATATTTCAGACGGATATTAATTTTAGTTAAATTCTCACTCATTCCTAAGTGCATTAAAAGTTTTAATATTTCAGCTTTATTATATGTAATTGTAGATCACATTCCCTTAACCGTAGTTTGGAATTTTTAATGAATTATTATCTTTGTTAATTTAGAAAAAAATCATTAATAGCCATGTTTCACTGTCACAATGTAAATGTAAGCATGGGAAATACTGAAGAGTAATGTCTTTGTACCTGCCCTTATTTATAATATTTCATTTTTATGGTAAAATGCTTAAATAAAAAAAGATACTATGATCTTTCAGAGAATGGGTGTAAGTATTATATAGTAATATAATATGTCTAAGCTCAATTTAAGAAATTAGTTATAAATTAATGAGCCGTGTCACGACAAAACCAACGTAATGGGTTTGCGACCAGCATGGATCCAGACCAGCCTGCGCATCCGCCCAGTCTGATAAGGATCCATGCTGTTCGCTAGCAGTTTCTTTACTTGTTATAGGGTCTGTTAGCAAACAGCATGAATCCTGATCAGACTGCTCGGATGCGCAGGCTGGTCTGGATCCATGCTGGTCGCAAACCCATTATGTTGGTTTTGTCATGACGCAGCTCATATGTATGTTATGTTACAGTTATGTTACTGTTGCTAGGTTGATTGTACTTATATTAGTTTATAAATTTCATAATTTTAAGTTGGTTTTTTATGAAAAATTCAGCATTTTATAAAATTCATAGAACATTTAAGTCAGTGCTTTTTTTAATTCTTCTTAAAGTATGTCATTTGACTTATTTTCCCGTAAAACTTTAATATATTATTACAGTACTTGACATAAAGTATGAGAATGTATAAAAGTTGTTCACTTTTTTTCCTTATATAAAGGGAACATAATATAATATATATTTTAATGCTAGATTCTCAAAGTAGACTCTTCTAAGTATTAATTTTTGTGATGGTATGGCTTTGTTATTTCTTTTAAAAAAAATAGATAATATTATTGTAAGAGCTAGTACAATTCATTTGTAGGTATAAATATGATATTTGTTAGGAAGCATGGTGGATAAAGCTACATAATTTTTTATATATAGATAATAGAGTTACTAAAGGAAAATTTGCTTTTAATTTGTGTGGATTTCACTAGGACAGGATCCCTCAAGGTGCTGTAGAGCCTAGTATTTCCTGTTCTCCTAAAATCAATGAGAGCCATTGGTCAAATAGGATTAGAAAATCTGTATACCCCTATTTTAATATTTATATCATAAACCTTGCCAAATTTAAACGAGATATTCAACCATAATGTAATTGACAAAATTCCAGCAACATCAGTCTTATAATACATCTTTTTTTTTATTTATTTAGGGTAATTTTTGTGCTTGTAAAACATACATACATGCATGTTTGAAATATTGCTTTTCATTGGATAATCATGATGTTTATATATTTTTATAAACACAGCTGGTGTCAATTTATGAAAAAAAAATCTGTTTTATCTTTTTTGGATTGGATTATATATGTAAACAAAAATTACATTATGGTTCCTTTCAGATCCAATTATCAGAAGAAGATAGCCAATTATTGGAGAGATGTGGAACTATTTGAAATTCTCTATTGTATCATTATACTGGTTTTAATGGACAGGTAATTATATGAAACTGTTTTTTTGTAACGTCAATTTTCATTTGATAATTGTGACTTTTAATATAGTTTTATATACACCCCTGCTGTAAATTTATGAAGAAATCCCAATTTTTTTTCTCAAGAAAGGAAGTTTGCTGTATTACAAGTTTGTTATAAATATACCTGACATGTTATATGACTCATAATGATTGTATATAAAGGGTTGTTTGCAATATAACCTACGCCTAGCAGCTTGGGTTAAAGTTTAAAAAAAACATAAAATTTTATATTATGGGCCATATAACTTGTCAAAAATCTTTATAACAAATAATATATGGTCTAAATCAAATGCATGTGAAGAGCCTCATTGTGGCTGAGTGGTTAATGTCTTTAATTTTAAATCACTCTCCACTCACCTCTTTTGGTTCGAATCTTACTAGGGACTTTGGATAAAGCTATCCATCTAGGTTATTGAAGGTTGGTGGCCTCCTACTGAGTACTTGCCTGTGTCTAAAGTAAAGCAGGGAAAGACAGCAGAGATCTTCCTGCACTAGTAAAGCTGGAATCAGTTGCCATATAGAATGTTTGTGTAACTTAAGATTTAGCACCCCCTTACCCCTTAGCACCCCTTATTCCACCCCCCCCCCCCCCCCCCCCGCACAAAAAGAAAAATGAAAAAAAATAATAAAAAAATGTATGTGACCTTGATGTTATAGCCATAGTATGATATAACATTGTGCACACTTTGATTACCTGTATATTGATAGTAGCTTTTTGTGTCGCCTCTACGGAGTAGTGGTGACATATAGGGATCACTTCTCCGTCGTCTGTCTGTCCGTCTGTCTGTCTGTCCGTCCGTCACAAAACTTGTCCGGACTACCCCTCATAAACTACTGGTGCAATTTCATCCAAACTTTACAGGAATGATCAGTACCAAGTCTAGTTGTGCATATTGTCAGCATTTTCCGGTTCAATGATTTTTGTCAGAGTTATGGCCCTTTAATAATTTTTAATTTTAAAGTTTGTCCGGACTACTTTTCTTATACCACTAATGCAATTTCAATGAAACTTTACAGGATTGATCTGTAGCTCAAGGCCTTGCGCATATTGCACAGGTTTTCTGGTTGAATGATTTTTGGCCGAGTTATGGCCCTTTGAAAAAAAAGGTGTTTTTTTCTGTGTGTTGCCAGATACACAAAAGCTTGTCCGGACTACTGCTCATAAACTACTGGTGCAATTTCATCCAAACTTTACAGGAATGATCAGTACCAAGTTTAGTTGTGCATATTGTCAGCATTTTCCGGTTCAATGATTTTTGTCAGAGTTATTGCCCTTTGATAATTTTTATTTTTAAAGTTTGTCCGGACTAGTTCTCTTATACCACTTATGCAATTTCAATGAAACTTTACAGGATTGATCTGTAGCTCAAGTCCTTGCGCATATTGCACAAGTTTTCCGGTTGAATGATTTTTGGCCGAGTTATGGCCCTTTGATAAAAAGGTGTTTTTTTTCTGTGTGTTGCCAGATACGCAAAAGCTTGTCCGGACTACTCCTCATAAGCTACTGGTGCAATTTTATCCAAGCTTTACATGAATGATCAGTACCAAGTCTAGTTGTGCACTGTCTGTCTGTCTGTCCATCTGTAACAAAATTTGTCCCAACATGAAATTGGCCATTATGAGGCGACACATGTGATTACTGATCGCTCTTGTTTAGTTAATTTACAATGTAGATTTGATGTCTTTCAAGACATAAATCTATTTAGATGATGAGAAGAATGGGTTTTGGGTGCTGAGGACCTGTTTTTTTTTGTTTTGTTTTTTGGTACATGTTTTATCATGTTTTGATATATGACAAAGAGGCAATTTTATCATGTTTTGATATATGACAAAGAGACAATTTATCATGTTTTGTTATATGACAGGGAGGCAATTTTATCATGTTTTGTTATATGACAGGGAGGCAATTTTAACATGTTTTGTTATATGACAGGGAGGCAATTTTTTCATGTTTTGTTGAATGACAGGGAGGCAATTTTTTCATGTTTTGTTGTATGACAGGGAGGCAATTTTATCATGTTTTGTTGTATGACAGGGAGGCAATTTTATCATGTTTTGTTGTATGACAGGGAGGCAATTTTATCATGTTTTGTTATATGACAAGGAGGCAATTTTATCATGTTTTGTTATATGACAGGGAGGCAATTTTATCATGTTTTGTTATATGACAGGGAGGCAATTTTATAATGTTTTGTTATATGACAGGGAGGCAATTTTATCATGTTTTGTTATGTGACAGGGAGGCAATTTTATCATGTTTTGTTATTTGACAGGGAGGCAATTTTATCATGTTTTGTTATATGACAGGGAGGCGTATGATGATGAGATTCTTGTAGAGGCATATAGACTACACCATAGTACTTCAGGACAGTTATACCAGCTATTAGAGTACAATAAATCACTTAGAGCTGTCATACAAGCTGTTGCCAATGTAAGTACAACATACCATACCATACCATACCGTAACTTACCATACCATACAATTTAACACAGAACTGTTCCATATTATACCATTCCATACCATACAATTGAACACCGCATGGTACCATGCCATACTATACAATACCATATCATATCCTACCATACAACACCAGATCAAATTTAAAAAGTTTTTAATGGGATTCTTGGACATAGCTCTTTATCTTATGAATCACAAAGGAAAGAGGTGGTGGTGTGGTGGTGTTGATAGTTTACTCTCTGGATCACAGCAGTTAAAGCCACATTGACTTTACCAGAGCACAGTTAAGCCTCTGCATCATTCCTGGGCAGACTGTCAGTAGATTATCAGTATTAGTTGCCTTCTTTTTTGCAAGGATCTGATAAGAGCAGAGGTACAGTGTGAATGTTTGTAGAAAGGATTTCATGATCAATAACAACAAAAATGACATGCACTGTCTGGGAATCAAAACCTAGGACACCCAATTCATAGTCCAAGCATCTACCTATTGAGTAAACTGGACAGCTCTAAGGAAAGAAGGTTACAAAATTTTAAATATACATGTACATGTATTGGTATGTTTTAATCTGATCCGAATTTATCCATATTACATGTATATTTCAGTGTTTTTTTTATGCCCCCGGGCATATAGTAATTGAACCGTCCGTCCGTCCGCACTACCGAATAGGGATAGGGGGCCATCTAACTGTTAACAGAACAAAAGAGAACAATAGAATTCATTCCGTAACAATAGAATAAGGGGCCATTGGCCCTCTACTAAACAATAGAAAATAACAAAAGAGTTGGCCCCTTATTCCATTTCGGCCGTCCGTCTGTCCATTTGAACGTACGAGGTTAACCTAGAACGGCAAGTTGGATTTTTCTTAAGTTCTACCTCTACCAATGGCTTCTAAGTTTACACACTTACTAATCAATACAAAGTACATGATCTGGGCAAGTTACATAAATCTGGCTTTCATATTTACCAAGTTATTGCCCTTTTCAGCACTTAGAAAATGAATAATGGTTAACCTAAAACTTCAAGTTGGAAATATCTTAAGTTCTATCTATACTAATGGCTTTATAATTTCCACACTTACTGATCAATACAAAGTACATGATATTGCCAAGTTATATAACTATGTCATCCATATTTCCCAGTTATTTCCCTTTTTTCACTTTGAAAATAGGGCCTTGTCTGGACCTATTTGGGCAAGTTGGATTTATCTTAAATTTTTCCTAATTGCTTAATTTCTTTAATGACATCTTTCATATTAAGTAGGTGGATACCTTTGATGGTCTTCTAATTTTTTGTGGCGTAAGCGGTCTCTAGGGTCAAGGTCAATGTCACTGGTTTAAAAAATAAATATAAACATTTTTACTCATACAGCTTTTAGTTGATGTCTTAGTTTAATACAAACATGCCAAGGTAGGTCCTCCTTCTTTATGTGTAGTAAGGGGTCATTTGGGTCAAGGTCAATGTTACCAATGTCAAGGTCACCAATGTTAAAAATAGATTTTTACATTTTAACAGGTGTATTGACCTTATTCTATAGACAGATGTTATTTATAATTGATAGAAACATAAACTTTGATGGAGTTAGTGGTCAGTTGGGTCAAGGTCACCAGTGCTAAAAGTAGATTTTTACACATTTGCTCATACAGCCTTTATTAAGTGACAGATATATTTTATATTTGGTAGGAAGATAACTTGCATGGTATTCATCCTTTTGATTGGGGTAGGGATCAGTGGGTCAAGGTCACTTGTGCTAAAAATAGATTTTTACTTTTTTGCCCATAGTCAGCTTTTCTTTATTGACAGATGTATTTCATATTTGGTAGGAAGGTAACTTGCATGGTATTCTTCCTTTGGATGGAGTAAGGGGTCAGTTGGGTCAAGGTCACCATTGCTCAAAATAGATTTTTACACTTTTGCCCATACAGCCTTTATTTATTGACAGATGTATTTCATATTTGGTAGGAAGATAACTTACATGGTATTCTTCTTTTGGATAGAGTTAGGGGTCAGTTTGGTCAAGGTCACCATTGCTCAAAATAGATTTTTACACTTTTGCCCATACAGCCTTTATTTAATGACCAATGTATTTCATATTTGGTAGGAAGATAACTTGCATGAAGTTGAATATTTTTCAACTTCACAAGTCAGAGCAATGACTTGGCAACTTATATTTTTCACAATTACAAAATGCCATGACTTTGTCAAGCTATATAACTTGTGTTTACAATTTTTTGGCAATTTTTCTGTCCATAACTGAGTGAATGGGTAAACATTTTTTGAAATATTGCTACTGACAAGAATCTGAGCCGGGGGCATTTGTGTTTAACAAACACGTTCTAGTTTTTTATTTAATTTTTAATTGTAAAATTTTAACCATTTTTTCTCCGATCTTAGTGTTTAGAATTGTTTTAAAAATATAAAATACAGTATATATTGTGAGATTCTGTTTTTATGTAAATCTGGTATTGTAAATATATTATTATTTTTCTTCAGACTCAAGACTATCCTGTGATCCGAACACTTCTACAACAATATAATGATGCTGTGAAAAAACTGTTCCTTAACCCATTGTAAGTAACTGTGGTATAACAATGAACTACATTGTTTAGAATGATGTAAACAAATTAAATGATATAACAATCTATCTTGAAAGTTTTACAAATGGTTTAAGCATTGTTTGAAATGATTTAAACACTGTTTCATATGAGTAGGTTCAAATTATTTAAACAGTGTTACAAATGATTTGAACAGTGTCTCAAAAGATTTAACATGATTTAAACAGTCTAATGCTTCAAACGGTATTACAAATGATTCAAATAGTGTTTCAAATGATTTAAACAGTGTTTTAAAAGATTTGAAATGATTTAAACAGTCTACATTGTAGTTACAAATGATTTAAACAGTGTCAAATAAAATTAAAATGATCTAAACAGTTAAATTATTAAAACAGTTGAATGACTGAAACAGTCTTATGATTTAAACAGTTAAATGATCTAAACAAACTTTCACAAAAGATTTCAAATGATTTAAACAGTTAAATGGTTGGAACATGCTCTAAATAATTCATTTAGAAAAATGTTAATACTGGCAAAGGAGGAATGTTAAACAAAGGGTAAAGTTTGTGTGTGTGTTTGTGGGGGAGGGGGGACAAGTAAGTATCTTGATAATCCTTGATAGAATGCAGTAATTATATATGAAATTTACAAAACACATTGCTGTCATATGATACATGAGAATTCAAAACAGATGATAACTGAATATACTTCTACCTAAGCAAGCTGTGGTGCAGGAAACAGCTACACTTGTCATATATCTGACCTTCACAAAGCATAGATGATTCAATTTTTGCAAAATCAATATTCATATAATGACATGTTTTTTTAAAAACTTTTTGTTAGTTCTGATATAGATTATATAAATAGTTAAGGAAAATACTACTGTGCATTATACCTATCAAATGATTTATCACATACTTGTATCGATTTTGCAACTTCGTAAAAATGGTATTGCACAGCTGCGCATATATTATGTGACGTCATTTGCATTATCGAACATAGTGTAAGACTTGCTTAATGTTAGCATTACACTTATTATACCAACGCGTCAATGAAAAATGATTCTTTCGCACCTTAAACAGTCTTCATTTTGGGTATTTGATAAATAGAATATTATATTCATGTAGGTTTATGGGTTTAATGAACTTGTAAAAATAATAAAGAATAAAATTTGTGCTCGCCAGATGCTTGCATAATATAATTTTATTCAACTTGTTCAATAAATTCAGTATTGAATCTAGACTCATTCAATATTCTCTTTATTTTTTTATAGGAACTTAGATTTATATATACTTTTGTTTAACATGTTGCAGCCACAAATATGCTGAGTTTACCATGATTTATCACATAAACCGTGGCTCAGGAGTGTAATAAAGCCATTTAATAAAAACGATATTACGCTAGCTGATATTGCACTAGTGTAATAACACTTTGAAGTGACGTCATTTGTGCTATAAACATATCATTAAAGCACTCTTAAATGTTAGCGTTACACAATAGACAGGTCAAAGAAAAAAGACTCTTGTTAACAGTTTAGTCTGTTCTTATTTTATGTATGTATGTGATAAAAAGAATATTATATTCGTGTAGATTCAATACTAAATTTATTGAACTCGTTGAATAAAATAATATTATGCTTGCCAGAGGCTCGCAGAGTATGATTTTATTCAACTTGTTCAATAAATTTAGTATTAAACCTACACCCATTTAATATCCTTTATATATTTGTAGATTAGAGAGAAGTCAGGATCATGTGACAATAGGAATGTCTGTGTCTGCCAAGGTTGATGATATGATATATTCCCCAGACATGGAGTTTGCTTCAGCTACTCATCTACAATTTGTAAGTTTGACATTGTTACTTGCATTGCACCCTCGCCAGGTCCATATCCAGTCAGGGAGCTTGGATTCTTAAATGTAAGGAAGTTTACGGAAGGTGGGTGGTTCTACTCTAGTAACTGCTTTTGCTTGAGATAATAAATGAATGCGTATCTGAGATGTTCCTCTTCTGTCAAAGCCTGAAGTGACCATATAACCTTTTCAGTGTTGATGTGTCTTAAAATGAAACAAAAGTTACAAAACAAAATATTGTTATTTTATTTTGATTGACAAATAATTTTTGGTACTAGCAGGTTAATGTTTAAACCCAAACTAAAGAAAGAATTTCTCTGATCTTGATTTTGAATTAATTATTCACTTACTCTAATCAATCTATCAATTTGTGACAGAGAAATAAGTAATTTATGTCTTATGATATTAAAATTTAAACAGATTTTGTGAGATTGTGATGTGTTTTTTTATGGTTATCGTTGATTTTGTTTGGTGTGCAGCACTTTTTACTGTTAAATTTATGTTTATAATTATTATTATTATTATAATTATATTATTTTTTTTGGGGGGGGGGGGGGGGGGGAATTTGACCCCTATTTTTTCCTCTGAAAAAAAAAATCCTCAAAAAGTATATGAAAAATTTCAATCAGATCCATTTTATTCCATTTCTAAACTTTTACCTCCCCCAAATGCTTTTCCCTATTCCCCAATCCTGTGATGCTTTTCCTTATTCCCCACCCCCTGTAATGCTTTTCCCTATTCCCCCCCCCCTGCAATGCTTTTCCCTATTCCCCGTACTGCTTTTCCCTATTCCCCACCCTTGTAATGCTTTTCCCTAATCCCCACCTCTGTGATGCTTTTCCCTATTCCCCATTTCTGTGATGCTTTTCCCTATTTTCCCCCCTGTGATGCAATTTTTCTTCTCTTCATGAACTATCAATCCCCTAAAAGTGAAAAGAAAGGAAACAGTGTGATATGTGTTGTGATTGCTATCCTTTTTATTCACAACAGTCCCTGCGAGGTCTGAAGAATATAAACTTGTACTTGATACCATTAATGATGGAACTAGCAGAGGATAGCCGTTCACAGTGTCCCGAAGTTAATGTAAGTCAAAATATGTAAAATATGTTTATAATATCCAAAAGAAATGCAACATGTCTTATTTATGATATTTGTGTAGAGCTGTTTGTTATTTTCTTAGATTGTAAATACATGTTAATATAACAATTATTTTTGAAATCTTTATTGGTAAAAAAATTTTGAATTGAAACTTAATTGCTGATTTGTTGTTGTTGTTGTTTATTGTTGCCAAACAATTTTTAAACAATTCTAATAAATACTAAGAGAATTAATAAAAGTGGAACACAGGATAAGTTTTAAGCTTTATATAATGATGATAACCGACGTTTCAACTCTCACAAGTCTTCATCAAGGTTTTAAAAAAAAATTCTAATAAATATTAAAGAAGTTAAAAAAAATTGCCCATAAACAATTTCAGAGATTAATTAAAACAATGGAAGATGCATTCCCCGAAGAGGACCCGAGACCTCCGACCCGCTACAAGAAAAGAATTACCACATCATTTCAGGTAGAAAACCAGGATGTTTGCCTTAATAATAATTGAGCTGTGTCACGACAAAACCTACATTGTGCGTTTGCGTCCAGCATGGATCCAGACCAGCCTGCGCATCCGCGCAGTCTGATCAGGATCCATGCTGTTCGCTCACTAATTCTATTACAAGTAGAGAAACTGATCGCGAACAGCATGCATCCTGATCAGACTGCGTGGATGCGCAGGCTGGTCTGGATCCATACTGGTCGCAAACGCTTTATGTTGATTTTGTCGTGACGTGGCTCATATATTAGTCTGCTGAATTATTGTTATTCACTAAAAGGATTATAATTCACTAATTTTAATATCTAATATCCAACAATATAAAGGATTGCCAGGTCAGAAATGTACACGTTGACCTGGCTTTATTTTGATGATTAACATTATATTATGATGCTGCAAAAATATAAAAAATGTAATTTCTACTTGCAGGGTAATAAAGCTATAGCTATCACATGATTTTTTTTGTATAAAATTGATAAACATTAAAATTATGTTGTTTCGGTGATCTTATGCCGGTTCCCCATACAATGTTTCTGTTGTTTACATATATGAATTGTATGTAAACTGAATAAAATGTTTTGGAACAAAATATAATGCTGCTATTTTAAAGACATTTTCCTGAGTTTTCATATAGACATATAGGCAAAATTAAAACTGTTCAAACAAGAATGGTGACCCAAATTTTTTTTCCACTTAAAATGTTTCTGTTGTCATATTCTAACATCATGCCAAGTTTAAAGAAATTCTATAGAACAGTTTTAATTTTGCCTATATGTCTATATGAAAACTCCCGAAAACTTCCTTAAGTAGGTTTTTTTTTAATAATTTAGAAAAATAACTTTCTGCATGTTCCAATAAGGATACATATGTATACAAATAGAGAATATTGAGTGTAGGTTAAATACGAAATTTATTGAATGAGTTACAGGAAGCTACAGGAATATAATATTCTATTTATCCTGTCAAAAATAGAACAATAAATATTAATCACTTTTCAGTGATACTAACATTTAGAATGGCTTTAGGGGGCGTGATGGATGTTGCACATATTCATTATCCCTCATGTACAGACTCAATCAAACCAAGTCTTCAATTCTCTTGTAATTTTGTTTGATTAATGCTTCCGAGGGATCACTTTGTTTTCAGATTTTTTTACAGAATATTTTCATATTGCAAATGACATCAGATCAAAATATATGCACGCCTGTGCAATACTGTTTTTTTCTTGTTCTTAAAATGAATTATCTTTTTTTACAGAAATTCATTATTTTTTCATTGATTGTCACATTCCTTTCACATATTTCATATATTTTCACATATTTTCATATATTATCCCATGTTTCATTTATTTTGACATATTTTCACATATTTTCACATATTTAGGCAGGTGAAGAGGACGTAGCAGATGAGATTATTAGACATGGAATAGAGGATGAACATATTAAAAGACATGAAACCTCAGGTCAGAATTGTTACAAACATTTTTTCCCATCATTTTGAGGTGAAGTTAACAAAACACAAGCATACAAGTCTTACCTAAATTGCTACCATTCCAAGTACTTTTATTGTATTGTGAAATCAATGACTTTGTTCTTGGTGTGCCTGAAATAATCCATGGAATGGCACCTGTGGTCTTCCTCTACCAGTAAAGCTTGAAAGTGGATATATTACCCATACTGACCTTTGCAACATCAATCTCAATAAAAAAGAAAAAAAAATTGAACAAAAAATAATCTAGAATTATATTTAAAAAGTAAATTCTTAAAGCTGCAACCCTCCAGATGATTGATTAAACTCTAGAAAGAAAAAAAAGTTTAATGAGTTTAATATATAAATATTTACAATCCATAATTATTAATCTTTGCATAAAATATGTAAACTTTGACCGTAATTGTGTCTTAATGCTCCATGCTGGATTCGATTATTTTTAAGTGGATTGGTCTACAGATAAGCTCATTTTCCATAGGTATATCAATGGAAAAAATGGAAATGACACTCAGGCTGTCCAGCGTCCCTAAAATTCCTAAAAAATCCTAATTATGCCCCCACAGAGTGGGAGCATATAGCGTTGCACTTGTCCGTCCGAGTGTCCGTACGTCTGTCCGTACGTCCCGAAATCTTGTGCTGCGACCAAATTTAACAGAATTATGGCCCTTTGTTGATTTTTTCACTATATACTATGTAGAAATTTTGTGAACGCAACTCCTCTTAAACCGGATGGCAGATTTTGCTTAAACTTCCAGGGATGAACAACCTTAATGTGTAGATGGTAGTAAAGTAAGGAATTTTTGCTGCGACCAAATTTAACAGAATTATGGCCCTTTGTTGATTTTTTCACTATATACTATGTAGAAATTTTGTGAACGCAACTCCTCTTAAACCGGATGGCAGATTTTGCTTAAACTTCCAGGGATGAACAACCTTAATGTGTAGATGGTAGTAAAGGAAGGAATTTTTGCTGCGACCAAATTTCACAGAATTATGGCTCTTTGTTGATTTTTTCACTATATACTATGTAGAAAGTTTGTGAACGCAACTCCTCTTAAACCATGTAAACCGGATGGCAGATTTTGCTTAAACTTCCAGGGATGAACAACCTTAATGTGTAGATGGTAGTAAAGGAAGGAATTTTTGCTGCGACCAAATTTAACAGAATTATGGCCCTTTGTTGATATTTTTTTTTCAACTTGTGGCACAAGTAGTCCAAAAAATATTTGACCTAGAGTCATAAGATTGACAGAACAGTGGCGTGTGGGGGCATCCGTGTCCTATGGACACATTTCTAGTTTTTTTCAGTTTGGCTAAAATTCCTAAAAAAATGAAAAATTCAAAGGGAATTCCTAAAAAAGCCCTATTTTTTTCACTTAAATTCCTATTTTTTTTTATCTTTTGTGATAAACATATCATGAAACAACCATGTTTCAATCACAACTTTAATTCGAACACAGCCAGTGGTCAGCTGATGTCATGTCTGACTTAATTGCATAAAGCCACATGTTGTATTTACTTCAACTCCTGCAGAAATGCCATACTTGATTAATTACCAGATGTTATCAGAAAAATAATAAGAAACTGTTTGTTTTAAATAGAACAATGAAAATTGTCCGACTTTGAGTATATCAAAATAGTCACCAGTTTAAAATTGTGATAAAAAATTTTTCAAGGTAGTTACATTTTTATTGGCTACAGAGTTTTACCTTTACCTCAGTCTTAGGTGTATTTAAAGCAACTATTTACATGATGAACCACTAAATTTCATCAAACTTTATGTAGGGGTCCTTATTAATAGAATCCTAATTTGTTCAAGTGATGACTGTAGAACAGATCTTTGGTAAGTGATACCAGCTGGCAGATCTAGACAAGTTTCCATTGCTAAGTGGGTAAGGTAAACTGGCAGTAATGATTGGATGCTTTAACCATTTTGCTTCAGCTGTCCTTTTTGTACACATTAACATGTACTGAAGTTGAACATATGTTATAACATATAGTGTAAGTTTTTTTTTTAAATCTGGAAAAAACTGTTGAAAATCATTGAAAACACTGACACTGTTGTGAAATTTCTACAATTTTTAGTAGCCTGATTTATCTTGAACAAATTCTTCATAGGTGTATACAATGTACCCTGCTGTTTGAATTTAAGTTTTAATATTCCTGGGAATGACTTGAGTTGGTCATACTGTTTTTATTGTTTTTTTTTTAAAAAAGATTAAGACTTGTTGAAAATGTACCAACCTTAAAATGAATAAATATTGATAATAAATGCATTTATAGCTAAAATAAATCTAAAGCAAAATTTCCCCTTCCATTTATTATTGGCTAATCATAGCTTAACTAATTGAATATTGGTTGTTCCGGGATACTTTGAAAATGTTTTCATTCTAGTTATGTTTTAATGTAGTTTTCAGCTCTTTTTAAAGGCAGTTGACCAGTGAATCCATTTCTTCACTGGTGACTATGGAACACAGGTAACACCTTTGCTATAACCGAACTAGAGCATTATTTGTGAGTTACTTTTGTGTGAAATATGCAAAGTTGAGCCCATATCATGGTCTTTGAGGCTATAATTTAGTTATGAAGTTTTAGCCCTAAAATTTCTTTTATTTACCCTAAAATTCCTAATTTTAGCCCTAAATTTTTTTAAAAATTGCCCTAAAATTTGCCCTAATTTTTTGTCAGAAGGTGCTGGACAGCCTGAAATGTGTCATTTAATATTCTTATGAACTCTCTGTTGAAAAATGTTTATAAAGTTCTAAGTGATTTATTATCAACATTTATATGATGAATAATGATAATTTGTTCTGATCATTTGTTTAACACATAACAACAACAACCATATGTAATTCTTTGACTATTATAATGGTGATTGACCAACAGTAGATATTGTAATATGTTTATGATAAAATATAAATCTGCCTAAAATGTAAAAAGAGTACCCCTTACTCTTTAAATTAACTGAAATTTCCTTACGCCATGTGAGTTTTTTATGGTTCATGTAAAGTTAATTATGAAATTGAAAGGAATTATATCAAAATGTAAACTTATTATGACTTTCACTTATACAATCATGATAAAGCCTTTGATGAAAATAATGTCACTTTAATATGATTTTTGTGATTTTTATTGTTACAGTTTTGAATGTGAAGACATGTATAGCTAAAGATATGTCGCCACAGGTCATGGTCAAAGAAAATGTTCTCATGAAGGTTAGATGTTAATTATATATTAACCCTTTACCCTGATAGTGACTACAGAATCTGTTGATGTGCCCTGTGCATACCAAGTTTGGTTTGCACATTCATCCATGCCATCTGATTATGGTCTACACTGTTTGCTATTTAGTCAGATCTTATTTTGCAATATTTAGTCAGTTCTTATTTTGAATTTTTTCCTAAATATTATGAATAGTCTAGTCCAGATTGAAAAGATAGACAGTTCTATTAAAGACATTTAGAGCAGTAAGGGTAATTAAAGGAACTAAGTAATATTTATTAAACTTAATTGATAGCTAGTCACAATTTAATACTGAAATAGCATAGCAAATGTTATAATACATAATACAATGTGTATCACAGGTAATAGAGAGCTTCTGTGGTACAGGTCCTTGTCTTCAAACCACTTGCCATCTACCGATCTGTGTTTAAATTCTGCCAGGGATTCCAGCATGTTAGGAAGCTAACAATCCGGCTTTTTTATTGCCTAACATTGGTGCTGATTCTACTCTGTTAAAGTAATGCATCTGAGGTGTTCCTCCACAAGTAAAAGCTTTAATTAGCTATGGAAAACTCAAAATATTCTTAATTTTAAGGAGTAAGTCAATTAGTTCCCAATAAATAACAATGGTTTTACTGTACATAAATTTCTTATTTTCAGTATATGTTAGATTGTAAATTTGACGAGATGTGGAGTGATTACCTCATTGACCTTGCTGGTGGTGACCTTTTCCCGCCAAATCCATTTCCCAGACTTATCTCTTCTCTTAGACAATCTACAATGAAGTAAGCTCTTTTTTTTCTGGTTTAAATGATCAATAAAATATATTAAATTTTATAAGTAAGAAATAAGTGACGTCAAAATATAATTATGCATGGCGGGGCAATACCATTTTTACGTAGTCACAAAAGCGGCACGGGTATGTGGTAAAACAGTATCTTTTAAAAGTGTATAAAGCTATATCTGATTTAATATTTTTTGAAAAAACTAAAAAAAAACTTGAAATTATGTTGTTTTTCATAATGATATTGTCATTTCTTGAAAGATTTGTAACACAGAAAGTCTGCATAATTTAATGTACATAAATAATGTATATGAACAGAATCAAAATTGTCTGAGACAAAATATATTGCTGCTATTTTTAGTAGGTTGGGCGATGATTTCACACATGCTGTGCTGACTTTCGAAAAAAAAATTACAAATTTGTTTCATTTTAGGCATTCTGTAATTATTTCAATCACAGTTTTATCAACAATAATTTTTAAAATCTACAGACAGCAAATATTAAGCTTTATGCACTTTATATGTCACAGTATACATGATAAATTTACATGTTGTAGGATGGACTTGTTTTATGAGAAGGCATCAGTGCTGACAGAAAAGTTGTTTAACCTTGAAGTGAAGCCTGAAGATAATGAGAACTTTGTCTATCATATCCCAGGAATAGATGCTCATGGTGGGTATTTTGGATGACCGGAATGAACTTTCATTGATTCTACACAAACACTAAACTTTTGATGAAATTTTTGCTTGTCAAGTATTTATCTGGTACATTGTATATTGAAAGACGATGAGATGATTAAGAGGCCTGAGTGGTTAATTTTCTCGCATCAAAACGACTAAACCGGTGTTAAATAGCCGATATACACCTCTCAGGCCGATGTTATTTCGATTCTAACACGATAAAATAAGGAAAATCACTAATGTTATTTTTCAAGCGGAAATAACTTCCGGTGCCAATTTTCGTATAGCGCTGTTCGATTTTAGCACCCTACTGTTGCGAAGATATAGAAATTATTAAACAAAAGAACTAATAAGAAAAAAAACGTTATTTTATCAAGTTTTCAACAACAAAAAACTTACGTCGTATTGTGTTAACGTCATTGCCCCATTTATCATTCTTGTATGTATGAAATAACGTCAGCTTGTTTATGAATGAGTTGTTTACTTAGGATGACGTCATAACACTGCTTATATGGATTGGCGCCGTTTTGTCAAAATATTTATTTACTGATATGAATCTAATATGTGGCGTTAGTGTATGTGAGATATTATTTCGGTATTTTATGAAAAGAAAGCATTATACGAACTGAAAATATAAATTAAAATGCTTTTAATTGTTGCTCTAAAATGCTTTGTAAACTATACAATCAAGGGTGAAAACATAACAGCGCATATACAAGTAGTCCCTAACCGGTGTTTATTGGCAGTTTAACACCAGTTTTTTTCCTTCTTTGTCTATAGTGACAAAATCACGTGAGTGTTAGAATCTTCTATTAATACCTGTCATCTCATGATGTAAGTTTTGAGTCAGGTGAACAAAGCAGAAGAACCAGCATTATTTTGTTTGCTAAAGCTATCCAGTCAGCTGACAAAATTCTACTCAGGCACTCTCTTATGCATGAAATAATGCATGGAGGGTCACCCAAGGTTTTCTTTTAACAGTCAAGCTGGAATATTGACCATATAACCAAATTACAGTGTTGGTGTGACTTAAACCAAGAATTTTTTTTTTAAAGATTTTGGCATTATCTATTGATAATCATGTACCGCAGTTCAAGGTCCTTGGTGATTTGTTTTCCAAAGTCAAGTCTTTGTAATGGATCTTAATCATCTTCAAATGATCTCTCCAGATATGACTTTCATTACTTTAGTTATACCTGTAATTTATTTCAATTTTTGGTGCCGTGACCAGGATTTCAACTATTTTTCTTACAGGATGTGTTACAGCTTTGATGATGTTAGACACAGGAACTTATGTTACACTCTCTGAAATATTCAAAAGTTTCCAACAGCGGTCATATATACAGAAAAAAGGGCCATATCGTATAGGTATCTGCCTGGCATTGAGTGGCCCAAGTATCTGGTATGGACGGATGCAGCCATATTTAAATGAGATAGAACTTCATGAGCACTACTATATACAAGGACCCTCAGGTTGTCAAGGGGAGGCAATGCAGTTGTGTGCTGTTGTCGGTAATTATTTTTTTAATATTTTGACAAATTTGAAATGGCCTTCATTTTCAAGTGGTTTTGGTCACCTAACTTTGAATCGAGGGCCCCTCACTGCTGTGGGTTTGAAATATTCTGCCGACTTCATTCTTCATTTTTTAATGTGAGGAAGCTATAGGGCTAGCTTATGGAAGGTTTGTGCCTGGAATAATGAACATAGGGTTATTTGTAATATTACCTCACCAGTAAAGTTGGGAAGTCACCATATGAGCCTTTATAATACTAAACGTTTGTAACGTCACTTTTCATTGGATAATCATGACCTTTATATAGTTTAATATACATGGCTGCTGTTGATTTACAAAGAAATCTGTCTTTTTTTCTGTAAAAAATGATGCTTGCTGTATTATAAATTTATGAATATTTCTGACAGGTTACTTTGGCGGATATAAATGGTTGTTTGTATTGTAACCATTTATATAGGGCCATATAACTTGTCCATTATATTACAAGTAAAGTCTATCCAGCTAGCTTACGGAACGTCGGTGGTTCTACTCAGGTGCTCGTTCATGCCTGAAATAATGCACGGAAGGGCACCTGAGGTCTTCCTCCACCAGTAAAGCTGAAACGTCGCCATATGACCTATACTGTGTCTATGTGACGTAAAACCCAAAACAAACAAACAAACAAGTATAGTGTTGGTGTCACTAACAATCCAACAACAACAAAAATAGACAATTGTAGTTGGCGTTTCTGTATTTCTTAGAAGTATTATACTACTAATCCTGCAAAAAGAATGAATGAAAATCAAATGAACATATTTGACTTCAAAGAAGCGTTCACATACAGTATTTCGCTTTTTTCATAAGATGGCGTTTTCGCAGAGACAAACCTTTGCGCAAAATATTTTCTAGGAAAACAGTATATGCCAATAAGAATAATAAAGATCAATTAATGTTTATGTCAAAAGAAATGATATATTATTATACAAACTTAACTTTACACCTATGTTATCCTTTTAACATTATAATGATTTTTTTTGCAGTACATAATCATATGGTGGATATGATCACAAAGTCCGGATTGCCGGTTATGGGTGTTTATTTTGGTGATATAACTCCAGATCATTGGACTAGTGATGATGTAATGGGCAAAAAGAGAGGATTTCTTACGGAGTTTGCACATACATGTGCCCAGAAACAGTCAATATATGCCAAGGTTTATATAATTTATTTGTTATGATTACATTTAATGTAATGTCCTGAAAGAACTCCAGATCCTGTCAGGGACAAATCGTTGTTTCCGTGAGCTAGAAACTTTACAGTCATTGCTATTAGTACTGGTTGGTTCCAGGAATGGATTCAAGAGTGTTTTTGGCTTTTGGACATAAGTGGAGTTCCTTTAAAATTTAAAGTCTAAAATAAAGTGTGCCCAATAGATGCTGTAATAATGAAATAATAAGCAGCATTGCTGAAAGTTTTTAATGTTGCATTGTCTTCAGTATACTATAGTTTATGTTTTAAATATGTTTTAAATAGGTCTACTTTATACCTTATTTAGCCTTGATGATATGATTGTGGTCGACTTAAATTTAATAGAGATACTCTAGAACTCTTTAAATGTGGGTTTTTCCCATCTAATCCTGAGGTACAAACAGACTTATAGTTACAACGTGGTAAATTATTTGATAATAAGCGTAACACAAATATACTATGTTGTAAATGGTAGTGTCCCCCAAAGCTAAAAGAGTAAATTGTTAGTTCCTTTGGATTACACAGAAACACTCATATTTACAAAGTACATCTAATAAGACTTGATTATATCATGGCTAAATGTATTTTACAACTGCATGGGTGAAAGTTTTCAGGATTATATCTGAAGTTCAGGATTTTCAGTCTCCTGAAAGCCTTCTATTTCCTATGTAAAACTATAGAAAATCTGCTAAGTTCGGGATTTTCAGGATTTTTAAAATTTTCAACTTTCACCCATGCAACTGTTATATTTGTAGGCATATGTCTTGATTGATGGCTGGAGATATGTGACTCTCAAAAAATATTTCAAACTTCATTTCTTGGAATCAGCATCAAGGTAAGTGTGAAAAATATTTTATTTTTTTATTTTTTCATCAATCAATATTTTGGACAATACTATAGTGTAATCAGATGTGATCCATGCAAAGATGTCTTCATAGATTAAAGTATATCTAAGTGACAATGACAATTGAAGAGATAAAATGATAATATTTGTCACTGACTTTTTAACACTTGCCCCTCACTGTCACATGTTTTTGCTCGAACCTGCCAGAAACTGTGGATATTTTTGGTGTGAGGAAGCTATCCATCTAGCTTATGGAATGTTAATGGTTCTGATTTCCCCACTTGTCCATGAATTAATACATGAAGGAGTAAAATGTCATGATGTCTTCCTTCACCAGAAAAGCTGGAAAATTACCATATGACATTGACATTGTTAAGTAAGGATGACTTTAACCCCCTAACCCTGCCAATCCCTGAAAAGCAAAATGTTTTAATGTAGATTTTCTCTCTGTTACAGATACATGTTGCCTTTCAGACTTGGTCGTTAAAGTTGCTGATTCTTTAAATTTGAATTTCTTTTTGAGTGTTTAGGTATTCATTTCTGATTTCATTCAACTTAAAGATTTTGCAAGTTAATGATAACATAATAAAATTGACAATGATGTCTAAAAATACGAGGTATTGGGGTGTGGGTGGGGGCGGTCTTATTTCAACATGGAAAGTCCAAATTTCAGTTTGGACTATACTTTTATTCCTTGACTTGAAATGCTTAAGTTAGTAAAAAACAAACAAAACAACAACAACAAAAAACACTCAACAAAATTAAGCTAAGTGTGTGTTTATGACATAATGTTTAAACTATATATAATATATATATATATGTTTAGAAATTGTCTATTTCCAGATCAGAGGCATTTTTTCCCGAAAATCCTGCTTCATTCTATCAGTCTGTGTTCTTAACTAAGGATAGGGTAAGTTTAACTATAGATGGGTTTAATTAAGTTAAGGGAAATTGAATTGCATTTTATGCTCTTATATAATATTGCAATTCATTTTGGAACCAGTACTAAGCAATAAGTGTCAACTGCTGTAGATTACTAGTCTGTACTGGTTGGGGAGATAACTTCGGCTAGTTGATAAACTCGGCTTTTTATAATTTAATCGAGTTATCAGATTTTTTAATCTAATCAAGCTCACCATCTCATACTATCGCTGGAATTTGACAATATCTGGACATTTTGTCAAGTTTGTAAGATATTTAAAAAATAACACAGACTTTAACCTGTTTGTTTACAAAACATGCCTATGAAAAGTACGGGAATCCCATTGTTGTGCGCATGTGCAGCAGATGCTCATTTTGAGGCCGGCACAGGGGTACTTTTATATATTGACCGACTACCGGTAAAGCAGACGACGTTAACGTATTGTAGATGAAATTCAGACTCACTTTTGTCCTGCTAACTCAGAAAAAGGCTGTTTACACAATTTTAATCTTTAAGTGGAATGGATTGAAAGACTGATGTTAAATGCTCATTTTATATGTTAATGTGTAGGTTGAATACCACTAAATTAATTTCTTCTTCACTCTGTTAAGCTAAGCAAAAATAAATTTGAATCACTAATTCTTTAACTTCATATTTCGTTATACGTTAATAAATGATAATGCATGTGTTTTTACGTAAAAATAAGTTATATGTTACATAGTACGTTGCATATTAATATCGTGTTATCATAGATATTCATTATACTAACGTAATGCTCAACAATTTTGGTAACAAATATTTCTTATTTGACATAAATGAACAGCAAAGAAAGAATAAAATGTCTAAACATGTTATTTTACGTTTTAACTTACTCATTTAAGAAGAAAAACAAAGAGCCGGAATTATCTACTCGCGCGCGTTAAAAATATCCTTTTTACGTACCTCTTTCGGGGCCTCTCAAAATTACGCGCTATGTTTCTAAATATAACTTTTATGATGATACCGGAAAATCGAAGAGCTGAAGTTTATTATGGTGCAATATTCATCAGAATACGTAAACAAATAAATGAAATATGCCCCCCAAAACACTGATTTTCAGCCGAGTTTATCTCCCAAACCAGTAGTGTCTTTTCTACTCGACCACAATGTTTTCACATTTCAAAGATTCCCCATAACACTGATTCAACTTTTTGAAAGCTAGCAGCAATAATGAATTGCCTATGCCAGCAGCACAGTGATGGGCCAGTTAACACATGTATGTATATTCTCAATAGACATTTTCTGTTTTTCTGTTGAATATTAGCATATTGATAATAGAATCCCTCAAGTTTAGCATTTTGATGATAAAATCCTTCAAGTTTAACAATCTTATCTTAATAGCTTGTGCATTATTATAACATAAAAATAGTGGACAATTTCAAAGTACATGTAGGTCAAATCCATTATATGTATTAAGCAAAGTAAAAGGTAAATTTATGAACAAATTGAATGAATATGGTGAGGAACTTATGATTAGCTAAATATTTTAATGTATGTTTTCATAGCATGTTATACATATTTTCTGTAGTTTTACATATTGTGGTTAATTGTTGTTTTTTTTTGTTGTTGTTTATTTCCAAAATTCATTGAAGTAAAGAAAGTGTAGTGGAATGAAAAATGAAGAAAATATTAAGTTTTATGATTTACGGGAAAATTAGTAATTTACAATTATTTTACAATTAAAATTAGTAAACCTATGTGAAATTCTAAGTTCCAGTTGATATCATTGTTTCCACCTTTCATCCATTGTCATGCTATATACATGTACTTGAGTTTCTGGTATTTTATGATTATCTATTTGAAACAGGCAGCATTTCATTACCAGAACAGTGGTCCGCCACATGGAGGTGACCCTATGAGTATTGCTAATGTTCGGGCAGTCACAAACTTTATCGAGAAAAACATGTATGAATCTCAGAGGAAATCTGATTGGTTAAATTACTATCGACATTTACTATTGCGGGATCTCATTTCACAGGTAAAGATGATTTGAGCTGCGTCAGGACAAAACCAACGTTATGGGTTTGTGACCAGCATGGATCCAGACCAGCCTGCGCATCTGCACAGTCTTATCAGGATCCATGCTGTTTGCTATCAGTTTCTATACTTGTAATAGGTTATGTAAGCGAACAGCATGGATCCTGATTAGACTGCATGGATGCGCAGGCTGGTCTGGATCCATGCTGGTTGCAAACGCACTATGTTGGTTTTGTCATGACGCAGGTCATTTAATGTTTAACACTGAACTATAAGCAACAGAATTTATAAAGGAATGTGTGCACTCAAACCAAAACAAGTTATGAAAGAATGTGTGCACTCAAACCAAAACAAGTTATAAGGAATGTGTGCACTCAAACCAAAACAAGTTATAAAGGAATGTGTGCACTCAAACCAAAACAAGTTATGAAGGAATGTGTGCACTCAAACCAAAACAAGTTATGAAGGAATGTGTGCACTCAAACCAAAACAAGTTATAAAGGAATGTGTGCACTCAAACAAAAACAAGTTATGAAGAAATGTATGCACTCAAACCAAAACAAGTTATGAAGGAATGTGTGCACTCAAACCAAAACAAGTTATGAAGGAATGTGTGCACTCAAACCAAAATAAGTTATGAAGGAATGTGTGCACTCAAACCAAAACAAGTTATGAAGGAATGTGTGCACTCAAACCAAAACAAGTTATTAAGGAATGTGTGCACTCAAACCAAAACAAGTTATGAAAGAATTGTTGCACTCAAATCAAAACAATACTCAGGTTAACATAATTTGAACTGATAAAGTTAATATGAATATATATTAAATATATTTGGCGCTTACATTCTTTTTTAATGTGCATGTTTTTTATCAATTTTAATTGTCGCAATCCAGTTCTTGACAATACATAACTTTATTTCAGTTATATGACAAACCAGTTATACTAGATTGTACATGCTGTGAAAAATTTAACATGTACCATGTAAGGTATTGAATTCAGAAGGCCTGCAAAATGTAGTACATTTTGTATCAGATTCCATAAATTTGGGGGTTTCCCCAAACAATTTAAGACTAAGACCAACATTTTAAGTTCCCATTATTTTAATGATGAAAAGAAGATTCAGCCAATTAAGTTAGTCTTTGTTTTTCATCTATAGTTAGACTGTATCACTTACATGTTATAATGTTTCTATTTTAGGATCAGAGTCATATAGCAGATTGTTGGAGAGTTTTACATTGTATGGCTGGACAAATAGAATATGTTGTTGGTAATTATATTAGATACTTTTCTTTTGTTTTGTTAATTCTTATTGTATAAGGCCAGATATAAAACAACTTATTATGACTATATCATAATGAGGGCCAGCATTGATAAATGACCTTTGCCACCTCTATAGACAAGAGTATACTGTACATCTTAGCAGTCTTACCAATTACTTTATACAGCAGTCTGACCTTTTTTTTAAAAGCCAGGTTAAGTTAACTTCAGTGTTGTTTTATTTTCATGGTCATTTAGGATTATTTATTCCAGCACATTTAGTGTTGAAGGTTTAATAAAGCTTAAGAATGTGCTAGGGAACGTTGTTGGTTCAAAACCCGACAGGGACTTCAGATTTTTTTCATGTGAGGAAGTTGTTTTGCTCGGTGAATGTCTGTGATTCTTTTCAGGTGGCTGTTTGGGTCCAAAATAATACATGAACGAGTTCTTCCTCTATGAGTGAAGCTGGAAAATAGCCATATGGCCTTCATAGTGCAATGCAAACTGTGAGAGAAAGTGAATAAGTTGCTAGATATTTGTGCATGCAGGAAATGGAGTTATGGTACACATTGTGGGTTCCTGCATTAGTCAAACTGCAAAAAAATTTTCTCATCCAGTTACCATATATTTTTGCCATATCATTGCTTTTATGATGTTGATCTCATTCTATCCTGATGAAACAAAAATTTAACAAAACTATAAATCAGACATTATTTTCTTGCATATCAGACTGGCGTTTCCGTGAGTTTTACCCATGCCGGAAATTTCATCTGGCATGGGGGGTGCCAGAATAGTCGCGTGCTGTGCATTAATGGCATGCTTAGGATGATGTCATTTTACCGTTATGAATGAAGATGTAATTCAAACGCTATTATAAGAAAGTAGTTATGGTTGTAATGATATAAATTTCCATTGAAATTAAAGATAAAGAATTTAAAATATAATGGAATATGATAGAATATGCAAGAAAAAATATCTGACATGTGTTTGCAGTTCGGATCGGAATATCCGTTTCGAGGTCATCCGCCCATGGGCAGGTCACCTCGGGACGGATATTCCGATCCGAACCTCAAAATATGACAGATATTATAATTCTTTAGCTCTTATTTCTATGTTTAACCTTGATTTCCACTATTTTTAAACATGTCTATGTTTCGCCAGGAATGATGGAAGTTTTACAAGATTTAGTACTGACCTGTCTACAGACTGGAGTAGATGACAAGAAACAGACAAGTAGGCAAGGAAGCAGGGGCAGCTCACAGGGTAAAGGTCGTAAGGTATAATTCTTCCTTGTCTTTAATGATGTCTACAGAAGATTAATTTAGAACCAATAATTTGTTATTTATTTCAATACAGGTGAATATTTTTTTATTGTTTTATATGGCCCACTTCAGAGGTTTTTTTTTATTTTTTAAATGGAATCATAGATTGGCATAACAAAGAGTTCATAACATCATGACTGTGTATTAAATGTGGGTAAATTCATAAAAGGTATGTAAAGGCAGAGATGTAGATAATGTCCATGTAGATGTTATCTATGTCTCTGAATATGGTAACTAACATAACATTTAAATCAAGCATTTTTTATGCCAAGTGATATAGGTACTTTTATTTTTAGCTAGATTGTTTGGAAGAAAAAGTTGAGCTATTATCAGTGATTGCTGTGGCATTGTCGTTGTTGTCTTTAAGCAAAAACTTAGCCCATTATTCTAACATTGCAAAAATTATAACTTGAACGTTGGAATAATTGTTTATCATAACGAGATGCATATTAAGTTTTTAAACAAGGGGCATAATTTAGAAAGCTATATTACTGGAGTTATGCTCCTTATTAACTTAGAATTTGTCAAAATAGTTGTTATCTGGAACTCGGCAAATGTGGGTTTTTTCAAGCTTATGCTCTAGTACAAACAAACTTTTACTGAAATGGTGCACAGCTGTTCACAAAAGACACTCAGTTTCGAAGCTGAAACTGTAAAAGTTTGTTGTACTCCTTTGTTTTTGTTTCAATACAGAATGTTGTAGAACAGTCAGCTCTTACTAAGATGGTGATGGCGTTCTATCAGAAACTGATGTATGTATGTGAGGCAAGGCTAACTATGGCTGCAAGGTCACTAACAGATTATATAGAGAGTAAACTAAAGTCTGCCCTCGAGTTTGACCCAGATTCTGGACAACCATATCTTGCTATTGAAGATCAGGTAAAAGAAAGAACATTTCAAGAATATTTATTTTGCGCATTTTTTTTTAAAGAAGAAATGGTCAAATTGGTTTTCTTTAGTATGTATCCCACATGTTTTATGTCAGTCATTTTGAATATCAATGTAAGTAAGTTGTTGAGTTTATCAGTTCATTAACCATGGCATCCATATTTGGACATTTTTAAGTTGATGTGCTGCCTCATTTGTTTTTTATTTCACTATTCTGTATTTATATTTCACTTTATTTTGTGTTCATTTCAGTCATTTAATTTTGATCAATATTTGATAATTCTTTATCTTATTTCAATTATTCAGTGCTATTACATTAGTCAGTCATGTAACATAGTATATAAGTCAACTTTTAAAGCTCTTCAAGGCCCGTATTCAATATATATATCTCAAGATTTTGTATCCCTATATGAGTTTTTCCTTACCTAAAGATTATTATAGGAAAAAATAAGATATTTATTGGAGGAAAAAAATAGGATGTTTATTAAATGTCACTTCAGAGTTTTCTTAAAGAAATTACTGATTTTAAGATTTTCTTTTTCATAAGATAAGATAATCTTAAGAGGTATATTAAATGGATTTAAATCAATACAGGATTGAAACAATACCGCTAGACGCTTGCATTATTTTTGCTGATTCTTAGATTTTTCATTCATATTTATATATAAATGGGTATGAAGCGATGAATTAGACATTTTAAAGTTCATTCTGTTAGGTGAAAGGGGTGATTTTAGCATTTAATCATTCAATCGCCTTGTCCGTTTTTTTCCAGAAAACGTTATTAAGTCTCACTGATATTGATACCCCTGAAAACTGGTATTATCATACATGACTTGATCATAAGATATTACTTGACTTGACTTAAGTATTATCATTCCCAGCTTGATAATGAGATATTACTTGACTTGACTGGAGTATTATCATTCCCAGCTTGATAATAAGATATTACTTGACTTGACTGGAGTATTATCATTCCCAGCTTGATAATAAGATATTACTTGACTTGACTGGAGTATTATCATTCCCAGCTTGATAATAAGATATTACTTGACTTGACTGGAGTATTATCATTCCCAGCTTGATAATAAGATATTACTTGACTTGACTGGAGTATTATCATTCCCAGCTTGATAATAAGATATTACTTGACTTGACTGGAGTATTATCATTCCCAGCTTGATAATAAGATATTACTTGACTTGACTGGAGTATTATCATTCCCAGCTTGATAATGAGATATTACTTGACTTGACTGGAGTATTATCATTCCCAGCTTGATAATAAGATATAACTTGACTTGACTGGAGTGTTATCATTCCCAGCTTGATAATAAGATATACTTGACTTGACTGGAGTGTTATCATTCCCAGCTTGATAATAAAATATTACTTGACTTGACTGGAGTATAATCATTCCAGCTTGATAATAAAATATTACTTGACTTGACTGGAGTGTTATCATTCCCAGCTTGATAATAAGATATTACTTGACTTGACTTAAGTATTATCATTCCCAGCTTGATAATAAAATATTACTTGACTTGACTGGAGTATTATCATTCCCAGCTTGATAATAAGATATTACTTGACTTGACTGGAGTATTATCATTCCCAGCTTGATAATAAGATATAACTTGACTTGACTTAAGTATTATCATTCCCAGCTTGATAATAAAATATTACTTGACTTGACTGGAGTATAATCATTTCCCAGCTTGATAATAAGATATGACTTGACTTGACTGGAGTATTATCATTCCCAGCTTGATAATAAGATAATACTTGACTTGACTGGAGTATTATCATTCCTAGCTTGATAATAAGATAATACTTGACTTGACTGGAGTATTATCATTCCCAGCTTGATAATAAGATAATACTTGACTTGACTGGAGTATTATCATTCCTAGCTTGATAATAAGATAATACTTGACTTGACTGGAGTATTATCATTCCTAGCTTGATAATAAGATATTACTTGACTTGACTGGAGTATTATCATTCCCAGCTTGATAATAAGATAATACTTGACTTGACTGGAGTAATATCATTCCTAGCTTGATAATGTGATATTACTTGACTTGACTGGGTATTATCATTCCCAGGCTTGATAATGTGATATTACTTGACTTGACTTAAGTATTATCATTCCCAGCTTGATAATATAATATTACTTGACTTGACTGGAGTATAATCATTCCCAGCTTGATAATAAGATATTACTTGACTTGACTGGAGTATTATCATTCCCAGCTTGATAATAAGATAATACTTGACTTGACTGGAGTAATATCATTCCTAGCTTGATAATAAGATATTACTTGACTTGACTGGGTATTATCATTCCCAGCTTGATAATGTGATATTACTTGACTTGACTTAAGTATTATCATTCCCAGCTTGATAATGAGATATTACTTGACTTGACTGGAGTGTTATCATTCCAGCTTGATAATAAGATATTACTTGACTTGACTTAAGTATTATCATTCCCAGCTTGATAATGAGATAATACTTGACTTGACTGGAGTATTATCATTCCCAGCTTGATAATGAGATATTACTTGACTTGACTGGAGTATTATCATTCCCAGCTTGATAATGAGATATTACTTGACTTGACTGGAGTATTATCATTCCCAGCTTGATAATGAAGATATTACTTGACTTGACTGGAGTATTATCATTCCCAGCTTGATAATAAGATATAACTTGACTTGACTTAAGTATTATCATTCCCAGCTTGATAATAAGATATTACTTGACTTGACTGGAGTATTATCATTCCCAGCTTGATAATAAGATATTACTTGACTTGACTGGTGTATTATCATTCCCAGCTTGATAATAAGATATTACTTGACTTGACTTAAGTATTATCATTCCCAGCTTGATAATGAGATATTACTTGACTTGACTGGAGTATTATCATTCCCAGCTTGATAATAAGATATTACTTGACTTGACTGGAGTATTATCATTCCCAGCTTGATAATAAAATATTACTTGACTTGACTGGAGTGTTATCATTCCCAGCTTGATAATAAGATATTACTTGACTTGACTTAAGTATTATCATTCCCAGCTTGATAATGAGATATTACTTGACTTGACTGGAGTATTATTCCCAGCTTGATAATAAGATATTACTTGACTTGACTGGAGTATTATCATTCCCAGCTTGATAATAAGATATAACTTGACTTGACTGGAGTATTATCATTCCCAGCTTGATAATAAGATAATACTTGACTTGACTGGAGTATTATCATTCCCAGCTTGATAATGAGATATAACTTGACTTGACTGGAGTATTATCATTCCCAGCTTGATAATAAAATATTACTTGACTTGACTGGAGTATTATCATTCCAAGCTTGATAATGAGATAATACTTGACTTGACTGGTCTGTTATTTATTTCAGTCAATATTTCGACTGGAGGAGATGAAGAGTATAATGAGGATATTTCAGGACACGTTGAGTGGGGATGTCAGGAGTGTATGCCAGAACGTAGAGATTAAATATCAACCAAAGAGGCTTCAAACACCACAGATGAAAGTGGGAGAGTCATTCAAGAAGAAAACCCCTCGTACACCTGGGACTAGGGGATCTATAGGTCAATCCAGGTATGATTCATTGTGAACAGTTTTATTAAGGGACTGTCATTTTATGATATCATGTCCATTTATGTTGATTCTTGATTCAGAAAAATTTTCACATTTTTTTTCAATTGTGTAAAAAAAAAACATGCACTACATTGCACTCAGAAGTGGCCATAAGTAATTTACTAGTAAGTGATTAAAAGATCGCCTGGCTCTATACTGGTGCATAGATCTGTCGTTATTGCTGCATATATACTAGGAGGTGAATTTTTTATTTTCTCAAGCAAGCCATTTAGATATTATAATCCACATATGACAAATTATATGACAATCATCATGTACAGCAACCATGTGTACTATCATTTACCTGTATTGTTATACTATATAAGATATCTACATGTGTATATGTAGAAAAGAAAGGTTTGACTCGTTGCAAAAAGATGTTCCACATGTCATTTTCTGTTGTGAAATTCTGCTCATTGTTTTTTGATATCATTGCCTTTTCCCCCTCAGATTTTAAGAACTTCACAAGTTAGTATGTAATTTTTGTTTCATTAATTAATATTTTACTTATATTATGTTAAGTAATTTAAATTTACTTTCATTTGATTATTTATATTATGTTTAACTTTTATTTCTTTAATATTTTACTTTTATCTCATTAATTGAGATTTTACTTTTATTTTATTAATTGATATCGTTTCATTGATATCTTTAATTGATATTTTACTTTCATTTCTTTAACTGATAATTTATTTTTATTTCTTTAACTGATATTTTACTTTTATCTGTTTAACTGATATTTTACTTTTATTTCTTTCACTAGTATTTACTTATATTTCATTTATTGATATTTCACTAAATTTTTACTTCATTAATTGATATTTTACTTTTTATTTCATTAATTGATATTTTATTTTTATGCCCCCGCCATATAATGGCAGGGGCATATAGTGTTACCCTGTTCCGTCCTTCCGTCCTTCTGTCATCATCAGTTTCTGTTAATTATCTTAATAACCCTTGCACATATTGAACTCAAATTTGACATATGGATATGTCATGAGAAAATACAGGTCAAGTTCGAAATTGGTCATGGTTCGATGATTTTTGGCAGAGTTATGCCCCTTTAACTTTGAAAATAATATGAAATTTTCAGTTTCCGTTCATTATCTCCCAAACAGTTCAAAACATTCAATTCAAAATTGACATATGGATATGTCATTGAGAAAATACAGGTCAAGTTCGAAATTGGTCATGGTTCGATGCATTTTTGGCAGAGTTATGCCCTTTTTACTTTGAAAATATATATGAAATTTTCAGTTTCCGTTCATTATCTCCCCAACGGTACAACACATTCAACTCAAACTTGACATATTGATATGTCATGAGAAAAAATACAGGTCAAGTTCAAATTTAGTCATGGTTCGATGATTTTTGGCAGGAGTTATGCCCCTTTTACTTTGAAAATAATATGAAATTTTCAGTTTCCATTCATTAAACTCCCCAATGGTACAACACATTCAACTCAAAACTTGACATATGGATACGACAAAGGAATGCGCAGGTCAAGTTCAAATTTGGTCATGGTTCAGTGATTTTTGGCAGAGTTATGCCCCTTTCACTTTGAAAATAATATGAAATTTTTCAGTTTCCATTCATTATCTCCCCAATCTGTACAACACATTTAGCTCAAACTTGACATATCGATACGTCAAAGGAATGCACAGGCCAAGTTCAAATTTGGTCATGGTTCGATGATTTTTTGGCAGAGTTATGCCCTTTTACTTTGAAAATAATATGAAATTTTCAGTTTCTGTTTATTATCTCCCAACAGTATTAAACATTCAACTCAAATTTGACATATTGATACGTCAAAGGAATGCGCAGGTCAATTTCAAATTTGGTCATGGTTCGATGATTTTTTGGCAGAGTTATGCCCCTTTCACTTTGAAAATGATATGAAATTTACAGTTTTCTGTTCATTATCAAACCCAACAGTGTTACATATTCAACTCAAAATTGACATATGGATATGTCAAAGGAATGCGCAGGTCAAGTTGGAATTTGGTCACGGTTCGATGATTTTTTGGCAGAGTTATGTCCCTTTCACTTTGAAAATAATATAGATACATCTTAGGAATAAGCAGTTTAAGTTTTGAATTTGGTCGTGGTCAATGATTTTAGACAAACTTATCTTTCATGAATGTTGGAAAAATTTTGAACTTTCAGTTTCAGCACTCATACTTTTGTGAAAATGTATATAGCCATTATGTTGGCTACAAATATGCAATATGCTATTTTTAAAAGGTTAAGACTGAATAATTTCAGTGCCTTGAACATTGTATAAAAATGGTTAAGTCTGAATAATTTCAGTGCCTTGAACATTGTATAAAAATAGTTTGTGTTAACATTGAAAAGTTTTAAGGGCTTT